TGACTCACCCTTTTGTGGGCAAGGCAGGGGTAAAATTTAGAGAAGGAAGTGGTCATTCCAAGTTGACTCACCCTTTGGTGAGCCACCCGAGGGTAAAATTTAGAGAAGGATGTTGCCAATTCAACTTGACCCACCCTTTTGTGGGCAGGGTAAAATTTAGAGAAGGATGTTGCCCTTCCAAGTTGACTTACCCTTTGGTGAGCCACCCGAGGGTAAAATTTAGAGAAGGATGTTCCCATTTCAACTTGGTCACCCTTTTGTGGGCAGGGGTAAAATTTAGAGAAGGGTGTTGCTTTTCCAAGTTGACTCACCCTTTGGTGAGCCACCCGAGGGTACAATTTAGAGAAGGATGTCGCCATTTCAACTTGACTCGCCCTTTTGTGGGCAGGGTAAAATGTAGAGAAGGAAGTGGTCACTCCAACTTGACTCACCCTTTTGTAGGCCATGCAGGGGTAAAGTTTAGAGAGGCAAGTGGCCATGCCAACTTGACTCACCCTTTTGTGGACCCATGCAGGGGTAAAATTTAGAGAAGGATGTTGCCCTTCCAAGTTGACTCACCCTTTGGTGAGCCACCCGAGGGTAAAATTTTGAGAAGGATGTTGCCATTTCAACTTGACTCACCCTTTTGTGGGCAGGGTAGAATTTTGAGAACCCTTTGGTGGCCCTCGGGTGGGTAAAATTTAGAGAAGGATGTTGCCATTTCAACTTGACTCACCCTTTTGTGGGCAGGGTAAAATTTAGAGAAGGAAGTGCTCACTCCGACTTGACTCACCCTTTTGTGGGCTGTGCAGAGGTAAAGTTTAGAGAGGAAAGTGGCCATGCCAAGTTGACTCACCCTTTTGTGGGCCATGCCGGGGGAAAATTTAGAGAAGGATACTTGACTCACCCTTTTTTGTGGGCAAGGCAGGGGTAAAATTTAGAGAAGGAAGTGGTCATTCCAAGTTGACTCACCCTTTGGTGAGCCACTGGAGGGGTAAAATTTAGAGGAGGAAGTGGCCATTCCATCTTGACGACCCTTTTAAGTGAGCAAACATGCGGGAAAGGGCCTGTGTGCGCACTTGAGTCTCCCCGATGGACTGTGTGCGCGCATGAGTCAAATCTGTGTGCGCAGATGAGGCGCAAGTGCTAACAAAATGTGTGTGCGCAGATGAGTCAAATCTGTGTGCGCAGATGAGCCGCCGCCCTTCCAATAAAGCCCCGCGACAATTACATTCGTTAGCATAAAAATAAAAACCCTCAGCATAAAAATAGAAACCCTCAGCATAAAAATAAAACCCTCAGCATAAAAAAAAGACCGTTAGCATAAAAAAAAGAACCCACCCAAATCCAGCATAAAAAAAAGAACCGTTAGCATAAAGAAAAAAATATTCCCAAACTATATATATATATATAAGAGTCGGTTTAATGTGTGTGCTTATTGTTTAAACTTTTCGGAACCTTAAAAAAGTAACAAATAGATGTTTAAAAAACACTTAAAACAATATGTTTTGTTTAAAGTCGGAGCCTTCAAAAATACAACACATAAAAGAAACAAAAAATAAATATAAAAGATGCTGATTAAACAAAACAGTTAAAACAACAATCATCAACATGATCTATTTGTTCGGAGCCTTAAAACACACAAATACAAATTAAACCAGGCATTCCTCAGAGATCTCCAGATTTCCAGATGATTTAAACAATCTATTTAACAATACTTCAAATCATCCACACATTTCGAGAACAGTTTTTTTTGACCATGCGCGCTGTGAAAACAACAAATGCAAATCATTTGCTGATACAGGCTCGATGAAGGATCATACAAATGCACGTTGGGTGCCTCCCTATGGACACTCAATGTGTCAAGTGCACAAGACTCCCAACCCTCGGTATCCTCTTCCCGGGACTCGTTGCGTGCCCAGGAATGTGGACGCCGCGCGGGCTGGATCCTCAACATACGATCGAATCGACACTGAAATCATGGATGATTTGACACCTCAACCATCTTTCCGGACCTATCTTCGAATACTATTGAAATCTGTTGATTTTTTTTAAATATAGGGTGATGTGATTTGTTTCCCTATCAGGTTTGAACCATCCCCCTCAGGGGAAACTGCTCGTTGTCTCTCGACTTTCACTGGTGCCATACTCCGTTCTGCTCGGAAGTATGGCCATGAGCATGCCCCGTTTGGGTTTCCATACTTGTAAGGCGGGTGGCATCGGGTGGCCAGTTCGAACAAGTCCAAAACTCTGCAGGAGATTCAATTCTGTCATATTTGTTGATGTATTTCACAATATTTTACCATGTTCAGTCGGGGACGCACAGTCACTTCCAGCAACGTTCAACCATTTCCATGTTTCACATCGCAAATAGTTCTTTCTAAAGCTACATTTCCTACTACAAGTTCTCACTTTGATCACCGCGTCAAACTTCAAGCGCAGGCACAGTTGCATGGTGCACTTCGAGTAGGTAAGTTACTGCAAGACTAGATGCACTTCTCCAGGTTTAACGTGAAGTGGTGTTTTCATCGGTTATATGATCAAAAACATCTTAGTCCGTTACCGCAGGGTATCTTCATGGGCGTTCATTTAGGGATATTGCGAGCCAATCCCATGCCCAAACACTCCATGGGACTGGAACACATGCCTGTGCATAAAATATTCAAAGTCCCCATGGAGTGTTTGGGATGTTCAATCTCACTCTATTGCGTATCACCTTATTGCAGCACCAAAGAGGATCCGGCAAGAAAATCCGTCGCATGGGATCCGGGTTTTGTTCGTTGGTACCAGGTTCCCTAAGCAAAAATCCAGGGCATCATGGTTAGTTACTATAGTTACGTGGATGACCCGGAAAGTCAAGATGAACATCACATCCGAAGACAAAAAACAGGTGGCGCATTCCACGCAAGCATGGATGATTTCAGGAGCGCTATAGGGAATTTTGGTTTGCCGTTTCTAACATGGATTGTAAAGGATTTTGGTGTGCGATTTAAGGGAGTGCTGAGTGTCCACGAGATTGTTGTTCCCATTGAGCCCAGCAAAGAGGTCTTGAAGCCCGCCCGTGAGGACGACCCCGGTGGTGGGAGTGACTAGATCCTGCCACCGGTGGGTGTGCTTCAACCAAAGGCCTCTCACCAGAAGAGGGAAATTGCGGTGTCCCCATGTTTCTCGGCCCTCTCGCACGGCCCTCTAGGCCCTCTGTGAGCTCGGAGCCAACATGGAGACTGCAAGGCGTTTTATCCAGAGCGAAAGGGGCGCAGGATGGCGCAGGTCCTAAGGTCCATGGGCAGCCCAGGCCAAGGGGCCCCATCTAGACATCGATTCATATCAATTCACATCCATTCCGCATGTCAGGAAAAGGTTCTATACTATAGGGTGTCATACTGTAACATTCATGGATATTTTTCTGGCATGTCATTGTCAGCAATTCCAAACATGGAGGGCTGACACGCAGTGACACGTGGAATCGCTCCTCGTTAAATCCGAGTTCTGTCAAATCGATGCATGCGAAGAAGTTCTGTCAAATCCTTGGTTTGTCACACCCAATTCACCCGGAGTTGATGATCTTTTTGTTCTCAGAAACGCCATGAGGACCTCAGGACCTAAACGCCATTGACTGGACACATGGCTGGACACGACCCCGAGGTCTGGGGGATCGGACGGCTTGAAGAACCGAGACCTGACGGAAGTGGAATCATCGTGCAGGGTGGACTGATAGCTGGAAGAAGGGGTCCAGGGTGGACACGGGACAAGTATCATGTCTGGACCACCAGCGTCAAGCTCTCAGAGTTCGGTGACTGAGTTTTCAGACAGACCGCCTTGCAGGAGCGGAGGTCATACGCCGCTGCTGGCGGCCGCGCGCGAAGGACACCACGAAGTGGTGCAGTTGCTTTGCGAGAAGCGCGTCGATCAGGTCGGGCGATCCGCTGCGCCGGAGTGGATCGGAGACCAGGGTCGGAGAGCTGGGAGAGGAGCTGGGAGGCGAGCTGGTGGGGTTTAAAGTTTAAACCATCACGGTTTGTGGGGGATCGAGCTTGTGGGGAGGGATGCTGGGATGATCGAGCATGAGCGGAGTTCCTTATTGATAGGAGGATGAACTTCAGAAGGGGCTGTGGTTACTGTGGGTAGGGTCTGAGGTTATTTGTTAAAAGCTATATGATAGTAATATTATAGTAAAAACATATATTGACTCTATTGCAATCTCCTTCATGTTGTTTTAAGTTTGTTGGTGCATCAGTTCTTGTGGATATGTGCTTCTTGTGTCTTTTGTACCTGAACCTGAACCTAGAAACCACCGCTCTCGAGCTGTCCACCGTCTTTCATCACCTGGCATGTCCGCCGGATCGGACCCGATCCGGACCGGACCAGCGACCATCCGTTCGAGCGGTTTCTTCAGTGAGTGACCCAGCTTGGGAAGTCGTCCCTGTTGGTGGCCTGGAACCGTGACCGAAGCAACTAGGGGATGAAGGCAACGGTCAAACCAGGCCACTGGCGGCCACCAGGCCATTGACTCATGCCACGCGTGGCCATGGCTCAGGAACGACAGAACGTTAAGAAGACGAAGGCGAAGGTAGAACAACGGAGTCTTGATTGTTCCACACAAGACTGCAAGCACTAGATTTGGCGTACTAGCAGCAAATTGACACCACCTAGGAAAGAAAACACATCCCGACCGCAAGAACCTTCCAAGTGATCCTTTATCAGATAATGTCATACGTGGACACAGGAAATCCACCAACCTACCCATATGAATCAAGCCTTTGTTGACCTATATCAAAGGGGGGGTTGATGAATCCGGTGTCGACATGAATCAATCAGGATATGGGGACCGGCTATCTGAAATTGTTTCGACCACCCCTCCTCACCACTTGAGCAGTCTCCATATCAGGATGTATCCCAGACACTCCATGGGACTGGAATATATGCAGCCCCATTGAGCCCTCTGGCACCACCCCTGGCCTGACCGGCAGTCCTATGGCAGTCCCATGGGTCGTGTCTGGGTACCGGGCGCGTGCGGGTGCTCGGTGCCAGGAGCGCACAGCGAATGGTTGGAGCCCCTTGTTGTTGGCCGCACGGCATGGGCACACCGAAGTGGTCCAGGCCGAATGAACACGTGGAGTCCAGACCATGTGACCAAAGGAAGGCAACATTCACAGACGAAGGTGAACGACATCACCGGTTGTGTGCTGCGAGCAACATGCAGAGTTGGTGAGTCACTGGGTCGGCCTCCCACCTTCATCCCACTAGTCACAGGGTAGGAATTTGGAAGATGAGGACCTTCAGGTTTTGGCTATGTCTAGTTTTCTTGGGAAGGGAGGGGGGCCTCCAAGCGTGAGCAGAGGATCAACAACTCCATCAAGGTTCCAAAGGGGTGGCACTTAGAAACTTTAACACATTTTGGCACCACCCCTTGGTGACTCCTGGCTGTAGTGGATATAAATAAGATCAACCGGATCAACCAATGGGATAAAGTCCAGTCCGACTGTTTTCCTTTGGCTGCATTAGTGGTTTCAGCGCCCATGTTAGTTTTCACCGGGGTATCTATATAATATGTGTCATATATATATATATATACCTAGTCTAGCCTAGACTAGAGCCCTTTCACATGATGTTTGTTTTGAAACGGAAGCTTGACCATCGTTTTCAACCGAGATATGTACGGTAGACGGCGGAGACGGGGATGCTCATCTCCCATGACCAATGCCAATGACTCCATGGGATTCCATGGTGCTTTTGATGGGTCAAAACCCGAAACACCATGAAACACCGTTCCTCCCTGGACTAATTGTTAGGGGGCACCGAAACCTCGTTGGGTCCCCCGGTTGCCATACACCAGGCCGTTGCCATGACCCATCTTCGGCCAGGTGCTGCATGAATCTGGAGCAATGGCGATGCAGATGAGGAGCAAGTATAAGCAGCAACAGTTTGGTAAAAGTATATGCAGCTTTGGGTAAAAGACCCAGACACTCCATGGGGCTGGCATATTTACATACATTGGGGTGGTTGACCCGGGGTCAATGGGGCGGCATATATGGCAGTCCCATGGAGTGTTTTGGAGATGATATCACGATTTTTCACACAAATTTTGAGAGTGTGGCTTCTACCAACCATACCAACAAAGCTCAGGATGCAGCTGAGGTATTGGACACTCGTGGCCCTGTGCGAGGTTTAAGCCCTGCGAAAGTACAACTTGCTCGAGCGCTGTGACCCAGACAATTGCTGAAGCAAAGACAGATAGAGAGAGAGAGAGATGCAGAAGGGAATCCACATGTAACATTGATCGGGACAAGTCCGATTTAAACACAACAAACGGTGGGCAACAAAGTGAAAAACATCAAGTACGGCTATATATAAACATACTATTACAATAATGTTCAATCATTGTTTGAAGTCAGACGTCGACTCATTGTTCTTTCTTTGTTGAAGTTGCTGGGCTCGCAGAGAGGCGATTTTTCCTTGCTTTGCTGTTTAGGAATCGTTCAGAGGAAGAAGCTTCCAACTTCCAACCAATTCCAACGCCCCGCTTATGGTCCACTAGAGAGACCTGGGCTTTGCCCCCGTATACGAACAAGTACACCAAAAAACAAAACAACACACACACACATGCCAGGTACTGTGCTTGACAAGGCAGCCCTAGAGATTATATCAATTAGACCAGGGCCCCCTGTCAGGGCTGGTTCATGGACATCCCTTGACCTCTAAGGAGCTATAATTGGACAGCCTTGGCCCCGGGGGGCCCAGGTATAGATTCTATAAATACAACAGAATACCACAATATACCACAATACATGGAGGTGAATGTGTTTGTTAAAGGTTTCTATGTATAAAGGTGGTCCACCGGAACCAATTAGAGCAATATGCCAGGGGTATCATGAACTTTGCTTCTATCCATTCAATGGGCTATGTCAATCCCAGGTCAACTGAACGGAGGTTGGTTTCTTTATTGGTTTTGATTTTAACTATACCATGTTTATAAATGGCCTCGTCATTTTGGAGGGGCTCTTGGAGGGGCTCGAACCCGGTTGAGCCCGTGCGCCGTCCCAAGGTCCGCAGCACCGGTGGTCCGTCCCAAGGTCCTCCTCAGAAGGTATGACTGGACCCTCCTGGCACCCATTTTTGTTTCTTCTTAGAAGGTGCGACAGGAGCCCTATAGGGTATACACACCCAAAGTGAGAAATTCCGCCTCGTGGATAGACAGGCTGCCTGTGTGACAGGAGCCCTGTAGAGCCTGTAGGGCCATATATTTGTAGGGATCCAAGTACCTTGTCAGAAGGTGATTGGAGACACTGCTATGTAGGTGCCAGGAGGGTCCAAGTACCTTCTGAGAAGGCGCTTGGATCCCTAGGGATTTGAAACCATTGGTTTTGATCTGCAAAGGAGCTTGCCCGACGGCACCTCCGCGCTCCACTTCGCCGCCGAACGGGGCAACGAGACGATGGCGCGCCTGCTGGTGCCCTCGGCGCGACCGGTGTGTCGGGGTGTTGCAACCAACGGGCTGGTTCGCCGTTTTGGGCGAGAACGCGAGCCCACATGGGCCACATGTTTGGTGGTGAAGACCCACACTCCAACAGGTGAGCCCTGTTGGGCAAGCCTGCCGGAGCCCTCGCGCGCGCGTCGTGGGAGGGGTGGGCGACTCATCTCGAAGGTGGCATGTTCATGCGGTCCGGGACAATGACTTGGGCAGGGGTCACGCGGGCCCACGGGCGCCTGATCGGAGCGGGGTGGGCAAGTCATGGGTATGAGATAAGGCCGAAAAGATGGTCCATGGCCTGCTTGGCCATGGTTGAAGTGGATGGAAGGCATGTGGAACAACAGTATGTTCATGTATGTTCACTGGCTTAATGCCACCAGTCACCAGTCGCGCATCTTCCGCCCTGGGACGGAAGATGCTGGCAGGGACGAAGAACTTTTCTGAGCCTTGTAGGTTTGTACTTCATGGCGGATTGGTTTCATGCTTCGTTCACGGCGAAAACATCCGCCAAAAACATCTGCGGATTGGAGCCACACCGGACACCGGCGCGTAGATTCGTGAGCGCAAGTCGTTGCAGCAAGTTTCGAAGAAAATATTTGGCAAAATGCCCCCATGTGGTGAAATTAGGCCTCATATTTCTGGAATGTTCTGGGTATATGCATAAAAACATATATATATATAGAGAGAGAGAGAAAGCAAGAGAGAGGGACATGAAAACAAGTGGATCTAAGTGCGACGTCACATGAGGGAACTGTGTGGAGGAGGGAAAACACTGGTGCTTTTGCTGCTTCTTCCAGGTGGAGTGCCAGATCGATGTCAGTCAGGTGGGCGGAGAGAGCTGGTTCCAGTCATCAACCTGTTCGTGTGACATTGTATGACGTTTGTCGTTTGTTTGGCAGGTCCATCATTGTTGTACGGGGAGAGTGTTGTTATAGAGCTTTTTGCAGTGAATCCCAAACCCCACATGCTCGTCCAACTTGATTTGAGCGATGCAAAGGGTCAAGCCTTCACTTGTCGTCCTTCACTTGTCGCCGTGGCCCCTGAGCGTTTGGCCCAGCTTGAAGCACTGCCGACATGACAAAAGACTCAACGAGGCCAATGAGCAAAACAAGACATCCTCCAGCTGTTTCAGATCCCAAAGGCTTGAGGAGATTAAGCGGGACTGCCAGCATCTCCCATGTTTTTGGCGATGTGACAGGCGTGACAGGCCAAAGGTGCTCCAGGCAACCGTACAAATCCTTTTGGAGGATGATGCCCAGGCCCTGATAGAGTTCGTTCTTATTCCCTTTTGGTGTGAAGACTGGGATGTTGCCAACATGATGCCAGCAGGTTGCCACCTCCCCCTTGAGGGTTGTCAAAAGCTGGAAGCCTTTGTCCCACTGGGGCTCAACAAGCCTTCATAGACTTGCAGCTTGCTTTTTGCCCGTGGTAGACGAGGCCGGGCCCACTCTTGCGTTTTGTTTTGAGTCTTGCTCTTTGCACTTCCCACTTGGAACATACTTTGAGACTGCAAACTGCCGCCTTGAACTTGAACATGAACTTCTGTTGCAACAGTTGTGTCATATTTCGTTGTGGACCGGAACAGCCTTGCCTGCAATCCATCGTGTCCCAAATGGACGACATGACAGGTGGCTTATGGGGTGGGTGAATGTACATATTGGATCATGTTGGTGCCACCATGGAGCGTTTGGGATAGACTGGGGTACACTCTTTGGAAGCATCATGGAAGTGGAAAGCCGCCTGTTTGTAGAGGAACATGGTCATCCAAAGGGGCCGTTTTTCTACGTCCATGAGTCTTGCGGTTCCGTGTTTTCGCCTCGTGACACCTTGCGACCTTTTTGATTGCTCATCCCAGAATCCCGAAATCCGATGGGATTTGAAGCCGTGATCGCGAAATCAGAGATGCTTGATGTTCAACCTTGAGATGATTGATTTCACTGATATTTTTCCATATATGCTTCGCTTCGTGGTCCCAAGCACCACCGGTTCCGGGCATTTGCAGGTGCAAATGTCCGGCCGCGAGAGTGAGCAGTTGCTCCTGTCGAAGCTGTGCGACCGTGGTGCGGCGCTCCAGCCACAGAGCTTGGTCATCACCAAGCCTCTTTGGTGCAAAGAAGTTAAGTTGTTCTCCTGCAGACTGGAGAGACCCCCTTGACTCAGGTCAGTGGTTGGTTTTGCGGAGATGTCAGCAGTTGTCTATAGAGAACTATAGAGATTCCGAGGGGCACCAAAAGCAGACCTTGGTGTGGGTCAGGAGGGAATTCTTTTTTCCACCATAATGTTGACTTTTAATTAGTAATACTTCTCCTTAACTAGAGGGAGCCAATTAGATTGATGCCGCACTCCGTGTGAGATCCGGATCTGGTCGCACCGGGCCCCCGACCCGGTCGGTCGGTCCCGGGTGTACCTGGCTGAAGTCGAACGAACGTGACCGCATGGCCGACAGCATCCAAAGCAAATAGTAATGCAAGAACAAGTCTGCTAGAGTGACTGAGTAGGTCCATACTTCATTCTTGTAAGGGATTGACTACTCAAAACCAGTGTTTGGAGATGTGGGTTCTTCCAGATGTGGGTTACTCCAAGTCCGCTTGGAGAAACCAGGACCACTCCAAACCACCGTCATGGCGGAAGATCCAATGAAACCGATGCTTCGGGCCATGTCCACGGCGGAAGATCCCCTGCTCGATGTTCGGTCAGCGGTTGCGGGGTGACCTGAAAATCACCCACACATGACTAGTAACAAGGGCATTACTACTCGTAGTAATGCCCTTGTTACTAGTAGCGTTCTTGTTCCTAGTAGTAAGGCCAGGAGCCCCTAGTAGCGTCCGTGCTCCTAGTAGCGATGCCAGGAGCTCCTAGTAGCTTCTTGGTACTAGTAGCGATGCACTTGACCCGGAAACCACTTAAATCAGACCATATCAGGTCCCCCAGCAGTGTCTTCACCCACAGAAAACACCTGCCTCGGCCACTCACAGAATCCCATGTGGAACCGTGTCATACCGTGTCCAACTGACTGATTCATCCCGGATGCCTCACTACCTCCCACACCTACCCAGTCAGTGGTTAACCTGGGGACACCCCACTCAACAAGGAACGAATTAGAGTTCGTTCAGTAGATCCGGAACTCTTGTCCAGGAATCTCCAGCTCAGAAGTCAGCTCAGTGTGCTGGGGCTGGTTTGTTCCCATTGTTCACATCAAGCGATCTTCCGGGCACACTAAACATCCAGCGCTCCGCTCCGGCGTTCCGTCCGAAACAAAAAGCTCGCCAAGGATCCAGCAGGGCTACCACACCCGCAGCTATGCCGACCAGCTGCGCAGGGCCAAGCGTTTGGCGTCCGCACTGCAACGCTGGGGAGTTCGGATGGAGGACGCCGTGCCCTGCCGTGCCTGGAGGGTTCGGCATATCAAAACCACCCCAAGATTCGATGTTCTGACGTGGATGGGACGTGTGGGTGAAGATTTAGGCGGTCTTCTGACCTGCCTAGTAGTCTTTTGCGAGAGATCAGCAGCCAGGACAGCATTGTTCCGGCAAAGGTTTCAAAGGGGAGAAGGCTTTAGATTGTTTCTAGAGGCTGCATGGGAAGGATGTTCATACTATATATCCTGGTGGGCTTATCATGTTTCCCGACTTCAAGTGGATGACCAACAATCAGACAGCCCATCTACACTGTAAGATGCTGGACGTACTGTAAGATGCTGGACGTACGTCCCGTGTACCAATGTGTTTAAGGGTGGTCCATCATGTCATTGTCATTGGTCTCTTTGTCGATTTGCGGTCGCCTTACGGGCATGTCTTTCAGGTTTACGCCCGAAAACGCGGCGCAAAACTTGCACATGTCGAACAGTGTTGTCGAAGAGAATCACACAAGGATCATAGGAACATAAACAAAGGCCCATGATGCCCTTCGCAGGAGAGACCCAAGCATGTCGTCCTAGTGTATCCTAATGCTCATTCCACAATGCCCGTTTCCTGGCCCAGCAATCTCGTTTTGGTTTCAGGACCGTGTGGCAACTTTGATGTGGAACTCAGGCCATGAGGGCAATAGTATGCTATAGTTGCAGGGAGGTATAGGTCTCAAATTTAATAAGTGTTTATAACATATAGGTCTTTACAATCCCTGCTCTTTGCTGCGCAATCCCCTACAACTACTGGTGTACTTCTTGTGTGTTTGTTCATGTTGGGGTCCTCCAAAGGAGTTTGCCAAGGGTGGAGTATTTGTGAATCATTGTAAGCGCGATCTATATACCGTATACCTTTGCTTTGAATTGTTCCGACCATTGCCCCTATTAAACAACACGACCCCAGGATTTAAACTTGGGAAGAGCTTCAAAACCAAAAAGTCGCCTAGGGCCTAGGACAATAGAAATCGTTTCTTGAACTCGTACAAAAAAGGAGAAAGCCTGTATACAGATCGAAGGTTCCTCCTCTTCTCTTTACACAACCTTTATTATAAGAATGATGCCATAGTGCCATAGTGATTCTTCGATGTTCTTTGTTGTGAACTTTCCCTGAGTTAAACATTTTGAAAGGTGATGTGGCCATGTGGTTTGTGGAAAGTGCATTTGTGTGCCTCCTCGCCTGTGGTGAAGGGCGCACATGCGTGTGTAAATGCAGCGTGTCGCTGGCGAGTGGTACCTACTAAAAAGAACACACGCCAAAATGACCGTGGGCTTGGTTTAGCAGTGGGAAGTACAGGGAGCAGTTTGAAAACAAAGGGAACCTGTATTTAGGCGTGTCCGACATGCCATATTTTTTGGTATGGTATAGTATAGTGACTTTTACAATAGGTACTCACGCAAGGCCAAGAATGCAAACAGGTTGTGAAGCATGGACGTGGAAGTTGTTTGTGCAAGACTGTTGTAGGAGAGCTACTGTGTTGAAAGAAGAGCGTGCAGGCAAGGAATTCCAGCACAAGGCAAAGGCCCCTACTCTGTAACTATACAGCAATTAATCTTGATTATTAGTCGACATCTTTTGGGGCTTTTCCAGTGATGCTGGGGGCTTTCCTTTGTCAACGGTTCTTGGGGTGAACGGTGATGCTGGGCCATCCAGTCATCGCACCGCACCGTGCGCCAGTCGGAACCCGGCAGTTCGGAATGGTCCCATCGGTGGATCAGGTCAGGCGAGGTCCCATCCATCCCCGGGGCCACAAATCAGTTGGAGGCCAAATGACTCTATACTAGACCCATCGATTGCATGAGCAGCTAAGATAGGCCTGTTTGGGCCCGGTCGATTGGGGCACCGGTCGCCGGTCAAGGCTGGCATTTCGAGTGCTACCAGGCCATTAGTTGCATGGGAGCATGTCTCCACACTCTGAACCTCAGAGACTTGGACCGAGCGACTGGGAGGCTTGGGAAGGGCTATGATGGGCTCTCAGGCCGGCCTTGGACCGCATGCACCCATCGACTGGGACTTGCTGGGCTGAGCGACATTCAGTTGTTGGACAAGTGCATCGGGTCTTCCCCTACAGAACAAAACAACTGGGTAAAACAAGGACGACAAGCCAGTCAGGTGACAGTGAGACTCTTCAAGACTCTTGAAACACATGTTAAGTTAATTGTTAAGTATTTTGAGGGCCTCAGTGTTCTGAAATCAGTGGACATCGGGGACTTCTTTGGACAAAAATAATAATCTTAACGGTGTGTTCCTCCGCGTTGAGTCATTGAGGACTGGGGCAAGCAGACTTGGGCTACATCATCCACCATGCTCAGGCCCGCGGTTTCTCGCAACGACTCTGAGGAACCGGAAGTATGTTGAAAGGTGAGGAGTAAGGGAGCAGCAGTGGCGAGTCTGACGAGTGGTTTGAAGCTGCAAAAACCGGCTGAAGCAGATTTGTTTCGAAGGTTGAAGTGACCAACGGAGACTCTGCGGCCAGATGTTGGGTGGATTTCACCATCCACGTCCTCAGCGGAGCGTGGAGTTTCTCAGTTTCTCCATGGAGAAACCACTGAAAAACCACGGCGTCCCTCTTCTACCAACCCACCTGGTTTTGCTTAGGATGATCTTATTATTTACCCGACTGGTGAATCTCCTTTTGGGAATTCGGAGAATGTGTTTATTTTGTCCGGTCCGCAAGCAAATCCAAGCCCAAACACGCCATGTATGCCATATTTGCCTACATTGGGATTGTTCCAATGTTGGCATATATTCGATGGATTTTCATGGAGTGTTTGTGCAATGGTTGGTTGTAGGTGGCTGAAGTATCAACAGTGATTCTTGGAGCTTTTCCCTCCAAAGGTGACGCGTGGCTTGAGACCCATTCTTCAGGAGATACCAACGTGCATCGCGTTGCGGCAAGCCGCTCGCTGAAACCGTAACACTTGAAGCAACCCAGTCCCCAGAAATCATCCTGGCCAACGTGTATGAGAATACGGTCCCCAAATTCTGGAACAACCCTTTTCAATCCGAAGTCCATGTCCGAGGTTGGGAGGCTGTATGGGATGCGGCTTATTTGGTTCTTCCACCTTTCTAGGTTCATTGGGATGATGTCAGGGAGTCTCAGATTCCCCTTCCGGCAGATGCATCTTGGCTTTGCTCCGTGTCCAGCGAAGTGACACGCCACACGACCCCCCAGCTCGAGTAGTCCACTCCCTGGTCAAGTGGTGCGACTGGAATGGTATAAGCTCTTAGCTCCTGCTGTTGGCATTGGGGGGAGAGCCAATGCTCAGATTCAGATGGTTTAGTTGTGTCGGCCAGCTGCCAGGACCGTATCATTTTCGTGGATGCCAATCTGATCCAGCTTCTTGAGCAGGCGGGAACGGAATTGCCAGAAGTGAAAGGGAGGTGAGACCTAGAAGTCCAGAAGCGGCCCGTATGTCCTTTTGCGTTTTTTGTATGACAGGTAGCGTCAGCTCGTTAAACCTTCCCACAAGCCCATAGTTCTTCCTGCCCTTCTCCTGGCTCCCTATCCCCTAAATTGGGTTCACGTCAATGTTCAGTCCAGTGGCGTGGTCGAAGTGGCATCTCCAGCTGGTCGACGCCATGTACCCTAGAAAACGGGACATGACACTACAAAAAAAAAGCAGCTACAACTGGGGTGGGTGGCAGGTAGAGAGAGGAGCTATACGACCAGAGCCCCGCTCGGCAAGGGATTTTTTGCCTTTGGAACTCCCCGCTCGGCGACTCCTCACGGTGTGTCGACTCATGTCCTGAAACAGTAGATCCATTTTTGTATGACCACCGGTGGCGACGAAAGGAAGGGAAGGGAGGGTGCTGATTCAGAGACGGACACATATGCATTTTTTCATATATACTACACAACATTACACATAAGATATCGTTCACAAGCAAGTGAATTGAACGTGAGAAGAAGCGAGTTGACTGTCAGATGATTGGTTGACACTTGTTTCTTGTTTGTTCCCCCCAAGAAAGTCCCAGACATCCCCAGACTTCTTTCGCCAAGTAGACCTTCTCGTCTCGCCTCTCCGAGCCTCTCGCCAGATTTCGCCCTCGGATCTGGCCACCGTGGAGCTCTTCGTGTGTGCGGGCAGCGATGGGGAAGCGAACCAATGGAAGAGCAGCCAGCTGGCACCACGGCTGAAGGGTGGAGGCTGCCAGGGAGGTTGCCAGTGAAGGGCAATTGAAGTAAAGCATATTGAACCAGTGAACCAGGACAGACAATACGGTTTGATTGGAAGAAGTGACAGTGATTTGATATAGGGTTTCAGTGCCTGCATGCTTGCATGCTTGCTTGCTTGCTTGCCTGGAGAATTAACTCGATCAGATTCTGAGATATCCAGGGTCCACCCTGAGTTGTGGTTACCTAGTGGTCCTTTCTTTGCTAGAGAACTGACCTGCCCTCGGTGGATCAAATCAAAAGAGATGATAGATGCGTGATTCAAACTCCATTGCGGAGTTCTGCCAGTATGCTAGCAATGGGTAATACTTCTCGGAACGTCCAAAAACATCACACATGCTGAAAGACTTTCGGAAGGGTGAATTCCGAAAACGTTGGAATCTCAGAACATGTTTCATCCATCACCGTCAGCATGATTTGGAATATCAAACCCATAATCCCATAGAAGTTGGCGTTGGCCCCCCCAAAAAGAGGTCTTTCGGGGTGTCTATTAACCACCAAAGTGAGGGGGCTTTGTTAGTTTGGTCACAAGGAATCACCAACTGTCGCGGTTTCGAGAAGGTTTTGAGTGGCGCTTGTAAGATTGGGTCCCTTCAGATCAAGAAGAATTCAGCTGCACTTCTGTCATGTCACGAGTAGCGCATCTGACAAACCGTAAATAAGAAACATGTGGAGACAATGGTTCTTCTTCTTCATGCCAGCGGTGAACTCAAGCCACAGACGTATTGCTTCCCTTTATTCTGTTAGGACGAGAATGGAAAAAGAACTGATAAGATTTGCGATACCGTAAGATGCCATTTATATCAATTTATACCTTATGGCCTACCGCATGATGGACATATATGGACATCTTAGAGGTGGTTGTATGACCAGTGGATTATTGAAACTCGCCTCAATGATCAGACTGTAGCAGTTGGGCTGAAGGCCTCAATTGTCTTTTTCATGGTTTCATTTACGTGTGAGTGCCAATGCATCCCTCTGACATGCCACAGTGGAAGTCGGGAGAAAAGCACTGGTGCTCACACTAGAGCATGTTCAGGATGATTCAGAGCTTTGGTGCCTCGAAACAGCTTTGTACCATGGACCATGCTGAGTTTGTTGGAGAGAGCTCTACCGACCGGTGCAGTTTAGGAAGGGGTCATGCGGCCAACCCTGATGGCGGCCGATGCCACTTGTGTAGAACGGCCTGACACCATATCAACTGGCAGATGGCGCTTGAGGAGGATAGGGCGCCAAGAAAAACACAGTAATACCGTATAACTGTATAACTTCAACACCTTTGATTTGATTCCAGACCTTGGCGGCGAGCTGGAAGTGAGGTGTGGGTGCCTGACGTCGAAAAACAAGCACGTTCTTGTTGGGCAAAGCACGCGTTTGGATTTCATGCTGGAAGCTGGCGGTGGACAATGCAATGGAGTTTGTGGCGGATGTGCAACAAAGAGAGTTGCTGAAAAAACACAGTATTGGGCAGATGCCACATGTCATTTGTGACCCGGATGTGGTGCCACCATGGCGAAAGACTTCAGACGGCCTCCTTTCGCGGGAAGACGGCCTTTGCGAGTGAAGCCTGAGACGTGGACCGCTCAGAGCGACACTGCCCGTCTTGCCCTGAAACTAGGGCCAGGAGAGTTTCTTCTGACTGCAAGCAAAACAACACAAACTGGACGAGTCTGGATGAGGTGAGCAAAGAAGCCTTTCTGCTGCGGAGTGGACATCGACGTGAACAAGGGTCCACCATTCCATGGTCCGGTTGCTGGCCAGTATCTAAATATGGGTGCATGTAGTGGTGCATGACTTAGAGCCTGCCAACTGAGGTAAAGAATCTTTGCCAATCATCACTTGCCTATGGATGGGGTTCCCCAATTCTGGTATCAGTGCAGCGTTCAGTTTCCCAGAAGCATCAACAAACTCACTCATGCGCGACGTTTTGACGTGTCAAGTCAAGGAGTCTAACAGTCTAACGGGTCCCCCACCCCCTCCCCCCTTAAGCGGTGGGGGATAGTCCAACACATATCGAATGAAAACCGTCCGAGCTGCGTCCGGATGAGTCAAGGACAGCCGAAAGACCATCGACTACGAGGCCTTCTTGAACTCGGGCCACGAGGACGGGTCCGGAGGAACGTGTTTGGGTTCTGGGTTCTGGGTCCGAAGAAGAAGAAGAAGAAGAAGAACCAGAAGCAGAACAGAAACAGAAACAGCAACACACCACATGTTAGCTGTTAGCGCCTTGCTTCACTTGGTGATCAGCTTCTCTCCGGGCTCTGGACCCCCCCCAAGATGGTGGAGCCCATGGACCAAAGTTTAATGTTTGGGGCTTTCTTTGCTGAAGAAAGCCTTGGCTTAAAACCATTTCTCCGAGGAGAGTGAGACTCGATCCTCAGATCGATCGGAAAGTGGCGACACCTTCACTGGCCCTGTAGGTGTCCTGACCCCAAGGCTCGCCCCAAAGCGAGCGATGCCGTCCGAGGTTGTTCACTCGAACACCTGCGGGTTGCCGCGGGGGGTGGTACTGTCCGTGGTTTCACAGAGGAAATGCATGAACATGCCCTCCAAACACCCTCCACCAAGTGGAGCCAGTTACTATAGCCTATAGCCAAGTGGTTCCAAAAGACTCCCGAAAACGAATCCACCTTCTCACCGTTCACGGTGAGTGGTACCCTGGTTCCCTGGTCCCTGGCTCGGAACCGTGGCTAGGAATGGGATCCATTTCCCCCTGTCACACCCAGTCGTCCCACCCGGCGAGTCGTCCGACCAAAGGCGGGACCTCGAGCGACCGGGTCGAGGACTACCGATGGCCCGCCCTGGCGGACAGCTCGATGATGGGGCTGTGCTACACCTCGGGCACCACTGGAAAACCCAAAGGTGGAGTGTGGGGGGGGAGTCTGGGGAGGTTCTTTTTCGCGAAGGGTTCGGAGGGTTCCAGGAGTTGACTGAGTGACGGGCTGATGGGCGAAGTGATGCGAACTGGCTGGTGACCAGTGGGGGTTTACAATGGATTGCAACAGTTACAACCCCCCGACCATCTACAACAGGATCGTTTTCAGCTTTAATATGGACAGTTGGTTCATAGAAGCTCTCATATTCAAGAAAAGCATCTATAAACATGTACGAAAGATATAGGAGATGCTTGACCCTACGGAGTTGAGTGAGATGGACATATGATGAGCTACGGCCCATGAAAAGCTGGATTGTGTTGTTGGGGTAAGGGATTGCAATTGATTGGGTGCATTGGATGGTGGATGATTGAGGACACGGTAGGATAATGATGGTGGGTGGTGGTTGACTTTCAAAGAACTCAATGCCCTGTGCAACTTCCACCATGACCTTTCAAAGAACCGAAGACTTCGACCAAAATCACATGAAAGATCACCATTCTGATGTTTCCGATGTTTTGGTTTCCACCTTGAAGACCTGAAGAGTGAAGTTGACCGAGCTGTGCAGCCGTTGGATCCTTACATCTCCTGGCACGGAAATTCCTCTACCAAATGAGGCAGCCAAGTTCTGCCAATTGCGACACCTGGAGAACTTGATCATTCCTCCATCTTTGTAACATGATTTGTATCAGAAGAATTGGGAGGGGGGGGTGACCACCTCAAAAAAAAGGTGGTTTGCTTGGGACGCAAAGTAACGAACTCGAGTTGCGATACCTCGGTGTGCTTAGTGTGCTTGGCAGGTGCTGCATATAGCCAGCGGTCCACCTACTTGCACACCTTGATGATTTGTGGTGTCGACCAGTCGCTTTGCTCGTGGTGGGTGTTTGGAGGGTCAGGAAGGAGGAAGGAGGAGGGCCTACTGCTACTGGTGATGAGCAACTTGAAAGACAAATTCTACCACATCTACGCGTGGTTCATACCTTGTAATAAAGCCGGCGGAACACTTGTACAACATATTTGGAGGTAGTCAGTGATTAATGTCGCATCGCAGCATTGTTTGGGTTGACGGAGGCGCTGGTAGTTTTATTAGGATTCTCTACAGTACAGGAACGGAAAAAAGATGACAGCAAAAAGGCAAAGACGACACACGGACTGCAGGTGAATAATGTTGAGGGTTTGTAGGTAGGAATCTAGGCTTTCTTCAGCCAGTTGTATGGGCATTGCTGCTTGTGGCTGGCTTAGGTTGGCCATCTCTTCTCGAGAGGTGGTACTACCGTGTCTTGGACGTGGTCACGGATGGGGAGAGTGAGGGGCTTGGCTTCCAGTTCTGCGATAAACCAGTGAAAGTGGCTCATTTGTATACATATCCCATATGCTCCATGGGACTGGAATACATGCCTACATTGATCCCTCTCCAAACCACCTGAAATGATCGGTAAATACGCCTGTCCCATCAAGTCGTGTTCGGGGGTGTTATTTCTGATGTGGTTTTATCATTGCAGTGGTTTGAAAGTAGATGGCACAAGCGCCCCCAAGTTTGGTGCTTCAAGACCAGGTAGTCATTTTTTTCGGAGTCCCAATGTGCAGGTCCCGGACTTGCTCCAAATTGATGCGGGTTTATTTCACAAAAGTGCAGCTAAGAAAAAGCAGATGCGGAAAACTGGCGGCCGGTGAGAAGACTGCTCTTGATGCCCTCCCTTTTTTCACTCCTTACTGCTGTAGAGAAGAGAGTCGCAGCCAATGTGTTCCTCTTACAACCTCACCTCAGATCCCTACCACCTTCTCCCCTCCCTCTCTCTCCCTCCACATGCCTCCTGCCTCCACCGGCGCCACCAAGGTTCGTTCCGATGTTCCATGTGCTCAGTTGGGGCATCCCCTACGCTCTCCTGATGACGGGCTCGCCGGCCGTCTTCACGTCCCACTTCACCGACCCAGGAGACGGGCGGAGAGAGACGCCGACCGGGCGGAGGGGTTGGAGGGAGGTGGGTCAGGCGTTGGAACGGAAGGGCGGCGAGGAATCGCGCCTTGCTTTTTGAGGGGGAGGGTGGTGTGATCAATTCTTTAACCAAAGCTCAGATGCATCCATGATGCATCATTTGAAGGAATTGGTTCCTCTCCTCCAATGACACCCAAATGATTGTTGCATGACTCGGACGTCAGACGTAGCTCCAGGTCTTTAACTCTTTTGGGATTTGGAGCTCCTGCGCTTACTTATGTCACACCATGTGCGCATTTCACTGCCTTGCGCGACGCATCGCGATTCACAGAACCTAGGAGCCATGCTACAGATGATGATGGACTGGGGAGTGCATGTCTCTACCGGAGTGCCAGCAGTTTGGCAAACTTTGCGGCAGCACATCCAGAGCACAGGCGGTATTCTGCCGCGGGTTGGCAGTCAAGTAAGTTGAGCATGTTCAAAGCTATACCAGCGGAACTGAAGATACTGGTCGGATTCAATTGGGGCAATGTCCAAGCAGTGCCTTCTCACTGCTTCAGATCGCGGCACGTTGACACACGTGGCACCCAGGCCATCGGCTCGAGCCGTCGGTGGCACCCGGTGTTTCACGGAGGCTCGCTGGCGGCAGTGCAGCCGAAGATGAGACTGCAGCGGCTGGTTTGCGGCGGCTCCAGCCCACCAGCGACGCTGATGCGATGGTTCTTAGCACCTTGGTCGATATCTCTCTTTCAGACGATCCGTGTGATGCGATGGTTTCCATTGGTTGCCTACATTCGGAGGTGTTTGATGGTGAATGTAGGTCATGTCATGAGTCATCTATTATATTTGCTTACATTGATGTGTGGGTTTGTGAGTTGGAGATGAAGACACCAAATTGAGGACGGCCTAACTGTTTGAAGGAATCATCCATGTTAATCTTCTCGGGAGTATGTCTAAAATGGGAGGACCTCCAATGGCTTGATAGGATGCTCGAGAGCTAAAGCCCTGCTTGGAAAGACGCAGCATGTTGCAGTACCGGTGTCCTTAAGCCTTAAGCTCCACTTTGTTGTTACCATTCACACGCCCCAACAAACTACACCAGCCCACGTGCAATCTGAGAGTGTTTGGAGGCTACTATACTACTTAGGCCGACAGCAGAAGCTTACAATAAATATTGACACTCATAGACACTTCCTGGTAGAGGAACTGTTCCCAACGCCCTGTTTCTCAGATATCGACACAAATGGCATTTACCTTCCCCATGTGTGACACACACACACACACCGAGATAGAACACGGAGATGTGACACACGGTGCCACATGTTTAGGATGAGCTGGGTGTTGAGTTTGTTCAAGCATCTTGGCCGTGTTTGCCGAGCTTGAGGTTGGGGGAATGAAAGCGTGAGTTGGGCGGCGCAAGGGCGAAAGGTGCAACACCCCATCACCCGCTTAAGGGCAATCAAAAAAGGTCCCTCCCCTCCCCATAGGGGTGGTGATTTCACACCCAGATTTGTGGCAAGCTTTGACTAGTAATTAGACCATAGTAGACCTTTAACAGGTTCGGAGTGTGTTTTTTAATCATTGCTGTAAAACTAGATGCGGTGGTTTGGTCGGTTCTTGAGGCCAACATTTACGCCAAAGTGTTCGAAGCTGGTGAGGGAAAACACTTGGCGCAAGGTCTTGTACTAACATGGCTCCCTGAGTCTTGGATGGGAGGGCATTGCCTCTGACCATGCGAGGTGGCCCGGTGGCCCCAACTCCGGCGATCATTTGAACCAAGAGTACTGGAGAGGGGGGTAGTGAATGATAGGGGTTACTCCTTGGTCCAGCAAAGGGAACCTATAGGGGGTGCAAAGGCAGTCCAGGTAACTTTTGGGGTTTGGTTGGTTTAGGGCTTGGTTGGTTTGGCTGGCTTGGTTTTGACTTGTTTAAGCTTGTTTAGGTTTTGGTTAGTTTGACAGGCTTGGCTTTTTCTGGCTTCCTGGACCTTCTCGATCTGTTTTTTCCGGTATTTTTCAGCGCACCCGGATCGATGGGCAAACCAGCTGGTTTCTGGACGTCCCTCACCTCCTGACTCTGGTGGCCTTTGCGACTTTCTCCAGTCTGACATGGTTTCTTGACTCCGGTGTGACTCTTCTGCCGGCGGAACCGTGTGATAAACCACTGTGAAAAATGTTCAGTTTCCTGACTTGACCCTAGAAGTTTTTAGAAGAAGCCGTTTGTAGGTCCTTGACCTTATGTGTGTGCCAGTGGGGAGTTCTTGACTTTCTCTTCAAATGTCGCGAGGCTTCATGCAGGGTGATATCCTCACTCTCAATGGTTTTTACATGATTTGCATGAAAAGCATCTTTTCAATGGTGACGTCACACTCATTGATGGCTTTCTAAACTGCTGATGAACAACACCCATCCTACGAAGACCCACACCTGCCGGGTATCGATGAATACACCCTGACTCACTAACATGGAGATGAACACCCTTTGTTTGTAAACGAACGTAATCTTCCAAGGGAGTGATGTCCACTTCCATGTGATATGTTCGTCAGAGTGTCTCGGGCATCCGCTCGGCCAGCACCGTGCTGCTCCAGGTGTGGGGCATGACAGAGACCAACCCGATTGGCTCGGTCGCACGGCGCATTGGCAAGGTGACGGATCTCGAGAAGGGCGCCTTGGGTGTGCAAAGACGGATTTCTGCCTGGAAACCCTTGGAGTTCAGGTTTTGAGCGAAGCCAAGGTCTAGGACTTGAGTGGGGTCTATGAGGCTTACGATGTTGACAGATTGCAAGCTTCCTGAGTTCTGTTGATGTTACTCTCCCTGGAACTAACATGGTTACGTGGAGTTCACCCCCTGTCGGTAGGGGATTTCATGGTCTTCCGATCTGCCAGGGAGTGTAGTTGTGTCCCGCCCTTCACGCTTTCAACAGCCAGTGGCGAACTACCCGGCGCGCAGTCCGTTCGTGCCGAACTCGTTGAACTCCGTACGGCGTACGGTCTCCTTCTTCCCGCACCTGACAGGATTGGAGATTAGTACGATGGATCCTTAGATGTTGGGGGACGCCTTTTTATAATTATTGAGTGCTTTTGATGTCCATGCTGACTCCCCTGCGATATTCAGGGTTCGGACTTTGTCATCGACAGGAAACTGCTGAGACATTTTCGTTTCCAATGCTCATGTTGCGCCCACTGTGTGTAGTTGTGTCGGATAAGCTGGCTTGGGCAGACGGCGGTGGTTACTGAGCCTGCAGGCACTGCTCCACAAGATGGGTTGGCTCGTCCCATCAGTTTTGGGTCAACCATCACTCCTCACAATTGCTTGAGATCCAGGGACTGCGCAAGTCCGTTAGAATCAACAGGGAAAGGCAACAACAACAACTACTACTATACGACTATACTAATACTAAGTGGGCAGCTTGAACACCGGACTGGACCTTTGGGGTACAGTGCGATCTGTTTTTCGCTGAATTTGAGGCAAGTTTGTTCGTGGACATATGCTGCGGGACATGCTGCAGCTGTGCAGCTGTGTGCTTGGGTTTGACGTGCTCCTGGTGCTGTTGGCTTCTTTGCAATGATTTTGGCATGGCTGACCTGCTCAGCACGCTGATTCTTCCCGGCATTGTTCAGTTCCTGCCGCAACCTTTGGAAGGCTAAATCTTCAGGCTCCTTCTTCAGGAGAAGACCTTTGAGGCTCCTCTATTCTGTTTGAGCAGGGAGGTTCTCATTGGAGAGTCAGAAGAGCTGCCGTCCAATCTGGGTTTCGTGTTTGTGTCCACTTTGCTTTCCGCTGCTTTTCGCCATCGGAGTTCTCAATGGCCTCTACATTTCCAGCCACCTATTATTGCTTGGACGATGATGTGGGCGATGATCGTTTGGCAAAACATGACGTATGGATGGCACCACCGCTTGGCGACTCCGCACCAACACTGCGGAGCATCCGCCAAAGTAAGTGCCAGCTCCTCAACGCTTGCCACCACCCTGGGCTTTCTTTAGCACCCATACAAGTTGAAGCACGGCACATACAAGATACTTAATGAGACGTGCCTTTCTTGTCCGGGCTAGAGTGCAACCCTCAATACAAGCAGTTTGCTGTCCATAATTTGGCACCAACAGTAATGAAATCGCATACACCTGCAGGTTTCTGACAAGGAAAGAGACATTGAGTGTGTTTTCCTTCGCTTCTTTCAAATTCATTCAAGTTATTGCTGTTAAGTGTGAAACAGTTGTATGTGCTAGAAGTCCAAGGACTATATTTTGACTAGTATTTTGACTGACTGAAGTAAAGGAAATTCCTTTTCGGGTCACCTAAAGACCATTCCTTTTTGTGACTTCACCTGGCGAACGGGGTTCCATCGTGTTCCATCGTGCTCTCTTCCGCAAGTGACGACCCACGACGACAGCTTTTTCCGAAGAACGCAGCACGGTGCTGCGCCGCAGGTGTCGACGACAGCTTCAACAACGTGAAGAAAGCCGGCCTCCCATCGCCAGGCGTGGCGGCCGCTTCGTGGCGGCCAACGGCCGGGTTGGGCGGCGTGCATGATGTGCATGAGGGTTTTGACGGCCAGCTAAAGAGCTTCTAAGAGGATTTCTAGCCGGGAACATGGCTTTCTAAAAAGTGTTGAATGATATTGGATGTGGATTCTTCTTTTTGACGGTGGGACCGTCTCAGTCTCTATCATCGCCGCCTGTCTTCACCCGATCCCGGATCGGATTCGCCATGGCAAGTGGGCCATGCATCGACGACTGGGGTGAGTTTCCGGGCGAGTGCCATGACCCGCAGCCAACTGGTGAGTGCCATGACTGCTTCCTCAGCTGATTTCCTGGGGGTCCTACTGCAGGAAGTGGTCCAGCTACTAGTATAATACTAGTATAAGTGCGATAGTAGATAATGGGCTCCCTTTTTTTCACCCTCGAACAATGTTTTTTTTCACCCTCCCTTTTTTTCCCCACCCTCGAAACCTTTTTTTTTTTTCACCCTCAAGATTCATTTTTTCTCACCCTTTGGAACCTTTTTTTTCCACCCTCCCAAAACCTTTTATTTTCACCCTGCACCCTGTCATTTTCACCCTGTAGCATGCTTCTTTCACCCTTCACCTTGTTTTTTTCACCCTCGACCCTTTCTTTTCAACCCTCCGCCGGTGAAGCAGGTATCCCATGGAACCTGCACAGAGAACGATGTCACCTCCGGTTTGTTTCACACCGCTTGTCCCTGCACGTGCAAACCCTTTGTTTTCACCCCAATAGCTTCTTGTTACTAGCCCTTCGGAACCCTCCGGAAACTGCGTAGAGACTGTCCGGAACGACGGGAACCGCCGGAAGCTGACCCGGACGCCTCCGGAACGTGAGGCAGCACAGGATCCATCCATCCGTCCATCCATGCATCCATCAACGGAGTGCCAACCAGCCGACCAACCAACCAAGCAACAACGCGGCCAAGCCAACAAACCCACCAAGCAACCAACAAACCAAGCAACCAAAACCGCCCATCCCGTAGCGCTGCGCCCTCCCCCGCACCCCCTCCCGCCTTGACTTACACAGCATCCGTCCGTCCGTCCGTCCATCCATCCATCCATCCATCCATCCATCCATCAACCAAGCACACAAACAGAAAAATTGCATATCCATCAAGCACTGTATCACGCAAGCAATCACGGCAAGCAAACCAACACACCAAAAAGTAACATTCTTCCCCCTGTCCATGATCCATCCATCACTGTATGTGTCTTCTCCAAACCCAAGCAACCGACAAGTCAAGCAGGCTGAACCAACCAACACAACAACCAAAGGAAGGAGAGTTAAAAAGAAAGGGTGGGTAGCCCACCAGCAGCAAACAAACCAAGCAACCAAACGTTTCCCCCAAATGCTGTCGATACTTGCTTTGCATTGGTAGCCCACCAAGCAACCAACAAACCAAGCAACCAAAACGACACAACCCTGTGTGATCCCACATGCTGTCGATACTTGGTTCGCATTGCGGGGGAGGCGCTGCGCCCTCCCCCGCAACCCCTCCCGCCTTTATTTACACTCCATTCCATCCATTTATGCATCCATCCCCGCCCGCCATTATCTACAGACCATCCATCCATCCACCCATCAAACAAGCAAGCAACCAACAAACCAAGCAACCGACACCACGCAACCCTGTTTTTCCCCAAATGCTGTCGGTACTTGGTTTGCATTGCGCGGAAGGCGCTGCGCCCCCCCCCCGCACCCCGTCCCGCCTTATCTACACAGCATCCATCCATCCATCCATCCGTCCGTCCATCCATCCATCCATCCATCCACTGTATCACGCAAGCAATCAACAGCAAGCAAACCAAGCAACCAACCCACCAAAAAGTTTATTTTTCTCCCTGTCCATGATCCATCCATCAGTGTATGTGTTTTCCCAAAATCCAAGCAACCAACAAGCCAAGCAGGCCGAACCAACCAACACACCAACCAAAGGAAGTGGGATAAAAAAGAAAGGGTAGCAACCAAACTGTGTTTTCCCCAAATGCTGTCGATACTTGATTTGAATTGGTAGCCCACCGAGCAACCAACAAACCAATCAACCAAAACCACGCAACCCTGTGTTTTCCCCAAAAGCTGTCGATATTTGGCTTGCATTACAACAAGCTAGCCAACCAACCAACAGACCAAGCAAAGGAAGGAGGGTGAAAAAGAATGGGCCGAGGGTCAAAGAAGAAAGGGTAGAGGGCCGAGGGTGAAAAAACATGTTCGGGGGTGAAAAAAACAGGTTCAGAGGGTGAAAAAGAAAGGTGGAGGGTGGAAAAAAAATGCGGGGTGAAAAAACAGGGTTCAAGGGTGAAAAAAGAGGTTGCCCGTATATATATATATAATTGGGTCTGTCACAGTCTGTCCTATTAAACTTGTAACACCCTGTAACAGTCAGTTAGCAATTGTCACTATTTTTGAACAAGGCCTTTACTAACCATCATCATCAACTGTTACAGGTAATAGGATAGACCCAAAGTATATAACTATCTGATGGAGAGAAAGGGGCGGGTTTCTTCGGTTTCTTGCTGCCCAAGGGAATGGGTCATGGCAGGGCTCGAAGCGGATCAAAACAAAACTAAAGCAATCGAAGTTGTTGCCCTCGCCGTTGCTCTCTGTGGAGATCTGGGGTTTTCACACACCGCCCATAGCAGTGACCTGAGGAACACAGGTTCCGCCGTGTTCCTCACGAGGAGCTGTGCTCCTCGAAGCTGGTAATGCATCGTCAATGCACATTACCAGTATACTTAGTTCCTCCGTGCAGCCTTTGGCTAGGTGGACCAGCACAGCCACGTTCTATATTTCATGGGCCAGTGACATTCTTGACTTGAAGGGCAGCAATTGCACTTGTGGTCGCCACGCGGAAACCCGCGCGGTTTGTGCCTTTTGTTGTCCCGTTTTCGATCTTTGGGGGGGGCTGATTGTGATTGAGTGTGAGCAGCACTATCATGCAATATCTCTTGTCCAGCAAGGGTTGCTTCATTTGCTTCCAGGGTTTAGTGCCATACTCCTTTGCCTCGAGGCTGTTGCTGGATGTCCGCCTGGTGGGATGGATCCTCCCAGTAAGCGTGGCAATGTGGGTGAAGTCAGTAGAACAGTAGAACGCGTGCCACGGTACTCTGAGGTATATATAGAACATGTGCAACATGACCATCTGAAACTACCTCACAGCAGCTCAATCGCAAAGAAAACCTGACCTGATCACACCGTTTGCGCTGGCTACGCTATTCTCTTGGGCTTCTCTCAGTGTAGACTCATAAAGCCCCCCAGTGGCCTGAAGAGGTTCTTCCATCCATGTTGATTCATAACTCCCCCCCAAATCGCCTGGAAGAGGTGGACCTGGGGGGGTAGACTTCGACTCCGAGCTCACAGGCGTCGAGGTGCGGATCGCCCAGCTGGACGATCTCAGCCGGGACGTGGCGCCGGGCGAGGCTGGGGAACTGCCGCTTGGAGAGGAGGTGGGTGGGGAGAGCTGGGGACTGGCGGAATTCAGGAGTTGGTGAGAAAAGGAACGAGTGAGTGAAAGGTGTTTAGCAGAAGCTGTCCAATTTTTGTTGGTTTTTTTAGGGACCTCATTCCTGGTCATGAAGACGTACATGAAGTGAACATGAATGAACACCCAGGAGAAGCCTTGGTGCTAAATCCAAGGCCAGTGTTTTGTTGTGTGTGATCGCTTATATACAAACAGGCACAGAACAAATTGACATGTTTCTTATTATATAGGTATACCACAATGACCCCACTGGATCATATCGAGCAAATGGAGGCTTCGGTTATCATTGTTTTTTGTTTTTTTATCTTAAAGGTTGGTTGGCTGTACACAACTCGGCTGGCAGGAAAGCGCAGCTGGCAATGGGAATTCTGCCATGACTTGAATTCGCCCACCTAGTGAACTTAGTGTGCGAGAGTCGAATGTGCATTTGACTGGCTTTGGCCCTTTCGGCTGCAACAAGGCAAGGTTGCTGGTGTTGTGCTGAGTTGCAGGATGCTAAGGGGGAGACCCTTTGGCCCCATGGTTTTCGGTACTTTCCTTCGAACCCAGAGGGGCAACCGTGCCCGCTTGGGAAACCCCTTGACTGGAGCCCCCCCCAGGGCACTGGTCAGCCATGCCTATAGAGGTGCCGATCGAACTGAGGCTGGTTCGAGGCCCTTGGGTCATCCAAGAGTACTACGAGGCGCGACTCAACGGACAGACCTGCGATGGACAGACCTCCTGAGAAGCGGAGGCGCGACCCATGATGCGTGGAGGTCATGTATCAGCTTTGAGGCCATGGCCATGTGATTGGCTGACGCTCACATCGTGGAAGCATCACCGGTGACATGTCTGGATCTTCGCAGATCAGCTGACGCTCACAAAACCCCGCGAGCGGACTCGGCGAGATTGGGGGGTGACCCGGGGAGAGCCTCTCAGGTTGAATGCCACGGTTTTCGATGGTTCACGCCTCCCCTTCGCTCACACTCGGGTACGCATGACCTGTTTGCCAACGTCCATGTCCGGGAACCGGACGTAGACCCGATGTCCACATGTTTGTTTGATCACCGCCCCACCTGTTTTTCAGTCAAACCTTCGCAGCTATCGTGTGCATTCACTCGACATCACTTACTTGACGATGCGAAGATAGCGAAGCGCCTGACAAATCAACTCAGCCGGCAACGGCTCTCCTTGTTGTAAAGGGAAGGTGCTGTTGCCGGTATCTCGACATCCCTTGAAGAGCACGATAAGCAAACAAGTCTTCCTGGTGGATCTTCTTGCAAGAATGATCGTGATGTGGCTCAGAACGGAAGAGGACCTGCTTTCCCACGTTTGCCGTTTTAGCCGCATGTTTGGGTCAGGTCGATGCCAGTGAGAAGTTCTTCCAGGGATGGCTCATCACCGGCGACGTGGCGAAGCACCTGAACAGCAATATACAGGAATGGAATGGAATGGACTGCATTGCTGGCAAATGCACGAGTGCACGAAAACAAAACAGCCTTTTTGAATCTTTTTGATTGATTTATCTTTTTTGTGGACCTGATCTGGTGTGGGGGCCTTTCCTTCCAACATGTCCTAGTTGGATGTCTTAGAGTGTTAGAGCATCTTAGAGCACATCAAAGACCAGGACTGGACTTGCAGGGAAAAGAGGTTTCATTCGAAAGAGCTATTCACTTGTGGACTCGCAGAACTGCCCACCTGAAGTAGAAGCGGCATATCTGGGATGACAGGTCATGACAAATATCATGACTTGTTGTGGTGTTTACGCTGCACACCCGGTGAACGACCACTTTTTTTGGGCTTGAAGCACATTAGATGTCGAGCATGGCATGCTGCTTGCAGCATGACATGTTGGTTCACCACGCGTCCAAACTTGTTCGGTGAGGGGTCCCTGACGCCCAAATCACATCAACCCTTCACTAGTAGTCACTAGTGTTTCTCAGTCGCTCACACATGCCGTTGGCAAGGATCGATGAAGAGGGGGCGATCATCATCAGTCGCTCAGTTGGTATGCTTGGCGACGTCGCCACGCGACAGCCGCGGTGAATGAAACCACCCAATCGGCGGTCCCAATGCTGATGACCGTGTTCCGAATCCCGGTGAAGGGAGGGGTCACACGGTTCAAGACCAAGCCGTGAATCAACCGAGCTCTCAATTCACCCGCAAGGGGGTGTTATATTGGGGGATTCATTCATCATCATTCATCAAGAGATCTACAGTTGAGTAAGAGATGGTGAGGTTTGCATTGATGGAGATAGACGCACCACGAGTTTTTTTTTTTCAATTTTGGTGTGTATATGATTTGTTTGAAAGGACAGGGCCAACAGTGCCCGGTGGAAAGATCACCATCGCTTTGTTGTTACGTTGCTTTGAGGCAAAATCTTCTAGGTTCACGGTTCAGGTTCATCTTGAATGGTCAAGGAGCGCACTATCCCCTAGGCTTCCGTTCGACCATTCAAAGAGTTCGGTTGACCTGGTTGCGTAGTGCAAAATCCTTAGTAAAACAGCTGGTGCTTCGGGAGTCAGGCCATTAAACCAATGGTTGGCCAGGAAGCCTAGGGTATCCCTAGGGCTCAGACGTCGTACCTCCTCACCCTCGCCACCGCCCTGAGGCGATCGCTCCAAGGACGTGATCAAGTCGGGCCGGGAAGCCCGAAGCACCGGACGTGGCGGCGGCGCCCGGCCCTACCGAAGTGGACTCTTAGACGATCTCTTAGACGAAGCCCCCGCATAGGAGGATTGATATATACAAAATAAGGATATATATCAAATCAATAATATAATAATGTTTAATATATATCAGAGGTTCGTTAATCCAAATGGAGGGGGGTTCTCAATCAAGAGGCACAGAAGTGTGGCCATGAGTTCATAAAGAGAAAGCATGGGAGGACGCATGGCCACGAATATACTCTGATTCATGCTCACGCCCCTAATTGCGCCAACCCAGGCCATACCTTTCTCGCAATCCCAGCCTCAAATCTGTTGGTCACTCTGAGGGGGCGAGTGGATCTCTTCCATTGACATGGAGATGCTTGGACCGGCCGTTGATCGCCTCGGGCCGAACCGCTTGGATCCGCCGTTCGAACCGCATGGGGACCGCGTGGCGAATCGGACGTGAGGACGGAGGATACACCGCGGTTCTTCTTTCTTTTCTATTCAGGTAATGAGATAACCCGCGCAATTCCAGGAATCCATGTCGGACTTTGGCTCCCTGTTATGGTAATTATATAATATTATATATATATATATGTGTGTGTGTTTTCTCAACGTCCTCCTGGCAATTCCTGGCGCGTGTTTGTGAGATCAACCAAACTGACTCAACTAATATATGACCGGGCACATCTGTTGTTGTTATCACTGGTTTCTGGACTTTGTGTCAACTCTACCAAGTGTGGTGTGTGCTAGTTGATTGCGGTTGAATACCCTGCGGTTTCAGGAGTGACTTAGTTTTAGAATGGACAGGAGGCCAACAGTGATTTGGATCAGTGATGTTCCCTGCATGGTGTTTTTCCCTAGGTGGTGGCTGCTTCGGTTCATCCAACGATTACTCACGGCCTCTTTGGGCCCCAAACGGACGGACAGCCAGCAGCCTCCGGTGCCCCGGCAGTCAGCCCGCTGTCTCCCTTGTCAACTTGTCTCCCCTTCCGCCCGGAAACGCCCAGCCTTTTCACCCGCAAATCCTCTAGCTTTTCTCTTCCGCGTCTGCACGCCGTGCGGAGGAACGCGGTGTGCGCCATGCCGGGCATTTCCCTGGCCGCGGTGGTCGCCGTGCCGCACCCTCGCTGGGATGAGCGCCCCGTTGTGGTGGCCGGGACACCCGGTGGAAACCGGAGGGCAACCAGCATGATGGGCAGTCGCCAGGTGAAGGTTTGTTTGTTGGTGCCTCAGGAAGTTTGCAAGTTCAGAGAAGTGAAGACACCTGCAATGAGGAGAATGGCCTGGATTCAGATGTTGTTTTGTTGGAGCAAGCTCACGCAGCAGCATCAGATCTACATTACTGGTTTGAATTCATCAGATTGCATCCCTCTTTTACTGTGTGGGGTCTTCCGTTTGGGAGGTGATTATTCGCCCAGGAACCACATAGGAGCAGTTGGGCCATGGTGGGCCATTGGGTTTGCAGACCGTTTTCGTCCAAGCAGCCTTCATTTCACAAGAATCCACTTTGGACAGTTGTGGTTGTTTGCCACTTTGGACAGTTGTGGTTGTTTGCTTCTCGCAACTCAGTTCCCCTTTGGAGCATAGAAGATTGATGTTGCCATGTTGCCTGGCTGTCGCTGCGACCCACACCCTGGCTCGCATAAGGTCATCCTGGACAAAGGCGTCAACACGGAAGGCTTGCTGGACAGAGTGAGGGAGCAACTCGGCAATGTTTTTTCCGCGGGCTAATGACAGACGGGGTAGGTTAAAACACATGACATGATAGCTGTGCCTACACTCAAAGTAAAAAGGGATGGCTCTTGCCCTTTTTCCGAGCACCAATTTTATAAATAGAATTGTTTTTCTAAAGAGTGAGGTGGAGTTGGGGTATTTTGAGGAAGAAGCGTGAAAATGGGGTTGGCCCCCAAACCAGTGACATGTAGAAAAAGGGGTTGGCACCCTGATTCTATTCTAGCAGGCTGGTTTGTAGATCAGAGGCAAACGGAAGGGTAGTGCCCAGAAAGGGTTTTGCAAAAACCTATTCTACTAACATCGTGGAAGGCGTGGGACATTCGTAGAACCCAAGGCTATTCGTGGACAGTTCGTGGAATGGTGGGCCAGTAGGAGAACTGACTGCAACGAAATTCCAGAAACCTTCGCAGAACTTTGTGGCAGGTATTTTTGATGCACTAACTTCGTATAAGCGATTTTTGCTGACCCCCTTTCTCCACACACCCTCCATTTAGCCTTCAGTAGAATCGGTCATGTTTTGAGATGTTGTGCATTGTGGCGTGTTTGGGGATGACACTTCTTGCTGTGTCTCAGAATTGAATAGACCAGTGGCTGCACCAGGTTGCGAAACGAAACGCATGGGAAGGATGATTGAGCAGGAGTTTGAATCCTCCAAATCATCTGTAGGAATTAGAAATCAAGATGTTGAAATAAAATGAGCCATGCCAACATTTTGCTTCCTAAAGGGGTTAGTAATGGATTACCTGAGACCATGTTATTTTGGGGAATTGGTATGCAGTGATTCCACGGTGTGCTTGACAAAGATATTCTGCAGTTAGACTTCCCCCCAAAAAAGAGGTGATTCCCACAAGCTTGCCATCAACATGTTGAGTCACAGATTGGAACATTTCGAATTCCGATGCATTCAATGGATTCTTGCAGCAATTCACACCCTAACAAATCACCGACACTCATCTCAGCACATCTCAAAGCCTTGGCTACCCTCAAATCATTTTCTAAATCATGGCCTTACCTGATCAAATTTTCTACGTTGGCTACCACTATTTTGAAAGCTTATATTTTTCAACCTTGGTCTGCTCTGATTCTATTTTGACTTCAGCCTTGGCTACTCTCATTTTTTTGAGGGGTTCCAACCCCTCCCTGCAACATAGAGCGGCTATTGACATGGATGGAAGAACTCTGTGGTGGTGCTTTTCCCTTCTTGAGGGCCTAGGGCTCCATTCATCTATGTTCTTGACAAGTTCTTCGAATGCCTTGCATGGTGCCTGCATGAGATCTGAACATGGACTTGCCCAGTCCCAGTCGGAAGGTTTCCTTTGGGCCTTTCCTGTTTACAGGGGTTTCAGAGTAGATATCACAAACCGCTACATGTCCTTTAGATGGGGGTTGATATAAACCACCGAACTTGGGGGCCCTTGCGCCATCTACGAACCCACTGTACCTGCAACAGTTGGTATATAAACAAGGACATCACTAGTTTAGAGATGTCGGCCTGCAACCAAACCATCATCCACTGAGCCCTGGTAATGGGATAGATCATCTAGAACCCAGATATCCTCCAGGAATCAGGCCGAGGTCAACAAGAAATAAGCACGTTGAGTTTACGTGATATAGAAGGGAATTAAGCAAAGATCTTGTTCCACATGTGCCACGACCCTGATAAATATTTATTCATTCAGCAGCGCCATGATGCTTGGCTGAAGCATGTTCAAATCAAACCGTCTCAAAGCCCTTAGTTGGTGCCTGAGACCCCGAGCGCCCCGAGGCACCTGTCCTCTTCCTTTGCCAAGTTCCAGCTGCCTGACGATGTGCTGGTGCCTGGGCGTGTCGAATCCCGGCCTCCAGGGGGCCGGTGGCGAAGCCGACCTCCAAACAGAAACTAGTTGGTTGGCTCCACGTTGGGCATTCTGGGATGTCAATCAGCCTAGCCATACCATAGGCGTTGTTTTCTTCAACTGTTTCACGGGTGGGTTGTTTTCTGTGGCAGATCCATCGCTTGAAAGTGACCGTCCCTGTCAGGCAGAAAAGGCATGGGTTCCCTGGACCAAATAGTCAAAACCCTCAGTTGATGGTTGTCACCAAATGCCAGTTCACCGGGAAAGTTCTGAACCCATGTTCCTAGGAATTGGAATGATGGAGGCAGACATGGATTGGAGCTTCCCCTCCGATGATTCCGTGGGTGAGCCGTTCACGGTGGAGCCGTGCCATGCACGGCAGGTGTGGAAGGAGATCCCGCACACTGGCACCGGCAAGATGGACAAGAAATCCATCCGAGCGAAGCTGGAAGAGCCTCGGCCACTGGCGAGTGGTGGAAAAACCACCGGTTTTCGGGACATTTTTTTCATATATCTTCATCCTGAAAGTTTGGGGCCATGCCATTCACGCAACCACCATGTATGCTTATGTACTGTAATGTATGCTTTATTCATCTCTATTCCTTTCTTTGGAAGACTTGGCAGACTTGGGTCGGAACCACTGGGAGCTTTGAGTGAGATCGGGCAAACCTTCCAGTGGTGAGAAACCTTGCGGGCGCCGTGGAGCACGGCGCACCACCACACTATCACTACCAAGCATCACCCATCCCTAAACGAAAGGAACATGTGCCATTTGGTGGCAGGCGCTTGGTACTTGTTTTTAGCTGTGTAAAGTTTGTCTCCGAGAAGCCAGTGCTCTATTAGATTTTGGGAACAGCCACACACACAAAAAGGTTCACACATGTTCACATGTTTCAATCAAGGTATTCCCGATTTTATACATCTGACCAAAACATTTGCATTACCCCACCACTCCGATACTCCCATGGACGATTTGCCTACACCTTGATTGTTTTTGTTGGTTGACCCAAGGCCCTCGGCTTGGAACGGACGGTATCATTGCTCGTTAGCCCCTAGGGGTCGTGGGAGACTGGCGCCTTCTCCAGGAGCAGCAGTACATTTTACCGTCCCTTCGCACTTCCAAGCTTTGAAGCGCCCGCCGGGGGCTGAAGAAGCGCGCGGCTTGTGCGGCTTGCGCACGAGATGTTGGGGGGATGGATGCGGGGTGGAAGGGAAAATGAGACACTTCGGTTGGGCGGCCGCTGCTTTAAGGAAGATGAGCCTGCAGGGCCTAGAATTTGTTATATAAGGAGATTCTTTGCATGTTTCAAGTGTACTTCTCCTCTTTTCAAACGAATCTATATAGTAGGATTTGGGATCTGGCGCCACCTGTCCACCCTGTCTAGGTCTGAACATGCCACCGCTTCTTCAGAGCCCCATGTGCTGGTCATGTTGATTGAACTTCAGCCCACCTAAATGTAATTAATTGGGAGATATGGCTCACTCAATATACAAGTGAGCCAAAGCTATTTTTGATATGCACTTTTTGTAAAAGGATGTGTCAAAACAAAATCAATTTAAATGAGTGACTGACCTTGTCGCATGTGCGAGATACACAAAATTCCTTGTTGGCTATCCATGTGGACACTGACACGTTCCCCCCAAACTATTTGGTTATATTATATACTGTAGATGGCAAGGAACACTAATTGTAGTCAGAATGGGTGGGTCGGATGTGTTTGTTTCCGGACGGTTCGATTGGGATGTCCTAAAGTAGCTCCTAAAGAACACCTGTGTGTGGGTTCTATTGTGCCCACCCCGCATGCACCTTGACACCAGGAGAGCGGTGACAGGAGCGCATGGGACATGCTGGCCTTGAGGGCTGCCAGCACACAGCCCACTTCAAGGGTGACGACGCTGCTTCAGCGGTGGCGCCTTTGAAGCCACAAATAGAACATGGCCCGCCATCAGGCGGCAGCACTGGTGGCGGCGCTGGATGAGTACGTCTTTAGCTTTGCCCCCCACCACAGGGATCTTTTTGCCGCTTTGCGGCCTTTGGCCGCTGGATTTGCTTGGATAAAATGTTGTACCACCCCTTGTTTAGGGCCATGTGGTCTCACCCTGCTCAGTTGCAAGCATGCGGGCTGAGTCTATTGTGCCCACACCGCATATCCCCGCATGCCAGGAGAGCAGTGACAGGAGCGCATGGGACGCGCTGGCCTTGAGGGCTGCCAGCCATGGTCTACTTACATAACACTTGCTTCAACCATGCCATGATTTAAGTCGAGTGTTGATGATCTTTCAACCCCCCACATCACAAGGTTTTAAAATGCAATGGGGGAAATATAGGGGAGGGCTTATCAACCAACGAGTCTACATTATTGTTGCTCCCACCGTCAGGCCGGGAGTGGGGCATCATCGAGGCCCGCCACTCGGGTTCACTTGGAGTGCGCGGCTGGTGGGGAAGCTGGTGAACCGTGCGGTCTGAACACTTGGAGTGACATATAGTGAAGTGGCTTACCAAAAGCATTCCAGAGCTACCCAAACCGGAACGCAGGCATGTCCTTGGAATTCCGTTTGGAACCTACCGAGCTGCGAGGTTGACTGTTGATTCAGAACTCCCAACCTTCTTAATTAGTATGAGGGTTGTTATAGAGTCAAATCTATGGAGTGACAATTTCTTTTGGACGTGTTTCTTTCAGAACATCTTGCCCGTTTCGTGACGTCTCCCTACATGGATGGTCAAACATGTCCATAATATGGGCGGCTTTATTTGTCAACAACTAAACCATCAACATGCTTGTGTTCCTGAGTGAAGAAATGCACAAACAAATACGGTAAACAAACAGTAGCATCATCACAAACACAAATTACTACACGCAGAACGATCCAAAACTCACATTGGCAAGCATGTGCTTGACGAAGTGTGTTTTTGTGTGTGTTCCCTTTGATCAAGCCTTTAGAGGCCTTTAGAGGCAGAGGAGTGTGAATCATAGAAACAACGTGTTTTTTTGACATGAATTGATCTATGAATTGTCTCATCAATATTGATGAACTGTTTTAATCCGAGGCCTGATAACATGTTTTGACATGAATTGTCTCATTCTCATGGGTGTTTGGTGGCAGGCCTTTTGGCATAAATCCATGTTCAAGATGCAGTTTACAGTACCATACAGTACCCCAAACTTGGAACTACTGGTGGTTGAACGCCCGCAAAGCAGCCTTTGTTGAGGCAAAAACTCACGCAACAACATGTTAAAGCAAGGTGCTCCTGAGAAGCTCGGCTGCCATGTTCATACTTGGGCGTGTCTCCAACAAAGGGAGCCCCCTCTCTATTACCCCTCCTCGGCGTTGGGAGCCAACTAGTGCGCGGAGCATCTAGTCCGGGCAGCTGCCAAATAGAGAGTGAGTTCTCACAACAAAACACACACAGACACACACAAACGTGGGCAAATACATACACACGCGCACACACATACACACCAAGAAAAGAAACAGTGGCTGTCTTCGGCATGCCCGAACAAGGCCTGCTCCCTTGACCCAGCCTTTTTCAGCCTCACGCGGAGGATTTGCTGTACAAGAATCGCTGGAGTCCAATGATAGGTAGCCCCTTAGCGTTAATTACTGGTAAATGACCCCCCACAGGTAAATGACAACTCCAGGATACTCCAGGTCAAAGCTAGTGCCGATAAGTTACTTCATTTGATACTTCATTTCACCTAGTGTTCATCCCATTCTTTGAACTATCATCTAATATATCATCTAATTATTTGGTTTTCGGGTCGGGGCCAAGGACATCCAAAGTAGTCCAAAGAAGAAATGATGTCAAATCATTGTTCATTTGATATGTTACTTGATCTTAAACATATACATATATAAATATATTTTTAATTGTGCTTGTTGGCGGATGCGTTTGGGATCGTTTTGCATCGTATTGGATTGCGTTTCAGACGGCAAATCCCTGTTTTAAAGTGCCAGTGCAGCTAGATATCCTTTTGAGATGTCCAGCACGCCTGTGCTACATATACAGCCTGAGCTGTGCCTTATTGACAACACCTATTTTTAACCCTCCTTGGCACCAGGCTTGAAGCTGCGTGTGGCAAAAAGGGGCGGAACGGTGGGGCGTTCGGAATGGCTGCTGGTGAGGGGATTTTGATTGATGTCCTTCCCTGGAGAAATCCTCTTTCCGTGACCATGTGATATGTTTTAACAGTGGGGGGCATGGTTTGCGTGGTTCCTAGTTTGCAGATCAGGGCTGCAATCCATCATGATTTCAGGGAGTGCAGGCTTGGAGGGTCCAAACACCTTCAAAGGAGCTTTTCGCAGGCTCCCTGGGCGAAACTGACACCGGCACCCAAGGATTGAAAAAACATGTTTGGAGGCTCAAAGTTCATATTCCCTCCCTTTTTGTCTTCAAAAACAGGAGGGATCGATAAAACACACGGTCCCAACCATTGGAGGTATGGAATCCCTGATTGGTTGGGAGGGCGGAGCAGAGCTTGCAGAACACCCTGCGAAATAGTATAAAGAAAACAGAGCATAAGTAGAGAGAGAGAGAGAGAAAGAGAGAGAAAGAAAGAGATGGACAAAACTACATAGTTCCAGCACCGCGGAAGGGGTGGATGACACAATCCCTAAGCTTGGTGGTTTCTATTGACCCCCATTTGTCTAAGACATTTTGGGGCGCCAGTGCCATCTACATACGCTGCCCTGAAACCACTGAAAACGGTCCAAAAGGGTCCCAACGGTCCCAACATCGGAGCAGGATGCACTCCGCTTCGACATCCCAGTCCAGACGGCTGAAAACCTTCACAGCTCGGGTGTATCCGCGGCAGTTTTTCCGGCGTTTCCCTGCAAGGTGTTCCCAAGCGATACACAGAGCCCACCCTTGAGAATGGCTCCATTTTGGGATGGCTCCCGAGTCTTAGAAAGGAAGGCATTCTGCTGCACCCAAGCCTTCTGTTCCATGATGTTCCATGCATTCTATGACCCAGACGCTGCATGTTATGGTATATCAGAAAGGGCCCCGGGGCCCGGGGTGGGATTTTTCCGGGGTCTGAACTGGGTCTGTCTGGGTCGGCAGGTCCCCCCGAGCGGTCATCCCATCAGGCACGCTCCGATGGAGTGACCGCCTTGCACCTCTCGGCGGAGGGAGGACACGTGAGAAAACCCAGCGAACGCTCGCCCTGCTGCAGGAGATGCTGCCAGTGCCCATTCGTCACAGAAACAAAAGCCTACTCTGCTTACAACACTTGCCTTCTTTTCTCCCCTCGGGGAGTTGTTTTCTTCAAGCACACCTGTGTTGGATGCAGTGACCCTGGCTTGGTTTCGCTTCAATGTTTAGCTGCTGTTTGGCTGCGTGCAACGAAGATTCAATTTCTTCTTCGTGTAACCAAACCTGTCAGATAAAGGCCAAGAAGTCCTACAACAGATTCAATAGATTTCAATAGATAGATGTTTCATATTTCCAAACAGGCTCTCCCAAGACCAACCAAAATGGGATACATCATAGACCCCAAACCATGTTTCTACTAGGCTGAGGGTTTCAGGGAGCAAAGCGTTTGGATTAAATGCCAAGAAACGAGCGGACAGGTGGGGAATTCGGGAGTGTGGGTAGTGTGCAATTAATGTAGACTCTTCAATGATATGACATGATATGACATGACATGTCGACCACCCACAGCTTATTATAAATCAAGAGGCTACTACATTAATCTGGGATCGAACACCGCCCTGATGCAGGTCTTGATGGCAATTCTTGACTATAGGAAATTTTTGAAAACTGAAGGGTGTCTCAGATTTACACTGGATTTGAATTGAAACCTAGGTGTGGCAAAGGAACACTCCATGTATGGAATCATAATGGAATGTATTCACATTGACCCCTGAAATCATCCCGTGCCTGATTGGCATGGCTGCCAGACATGGAGTGTTTGGGATGCCCTCATTGGTGGGCGTTGTGCCCTAGGCGTCCTTGGTCGCGTTGCTCTGTGAGGTGTGGAGAGAAACGCGTGTTCTTTTTGTTGCTGGTGATTTCTCCAAGTCGGTCGATTTGGCAGGTGAGGCGTGGAACTAGGAGCGTGGAACTAGGTGATCAGTGATCAACAGACCCTGTGGTCAACTTAAGTTGAGCTTCATTGCTGGGGCCGCTAGTCCTTTTGAAAAGTGGGAGGTGTTCAACATCCCACAATCAATGACTAGGGTGGTGGTCGCAACAACCTCCTCTTGAAAAGGGAGCGCAGCAGCTTACCGACATAGAAACTGCACATATACATATATTACCATCAATTTACCTAGTACTAGTACAACCCATTTTATATCGACAATTTTTGAATTTGTTTGAATAACATGAGCGGGCTTAACCTATTCTCCGTAGCAACGTGGATCACATCAAGATCATAGACCTCTACAACTCACCGCCAGCGCTTCGATGAGTGCTACCTGCCGTACACTCCGAACGGTGAAGCGGGGTGAAGCTCCGCCATGTTTGGCCAGGGAGGTGGGGGAGGCCCGGGTTCCGGTGGTAAACACCCCGTCAGGGGGTCCGTCAGGGGGTCCCTGGCAGAAGATGGTTTTCCAAAGGGAGACTTGTTTGGCTTTGTCTCAACTTGAGGACAGCAGATCAAGATCCAAGATGAGGTCATCCAACCTTGTTTGAGCTCACTCTATCACCACTTATATCACCGAATCTCCATCAATCAGTCCTGTATCCAGGGGTTTTCGGTCGCCAAACCTAAAACTTTATTGAGATCACATGGTGATCAGTTGTGACCGCATGACCCTCCGCTCCTCGGATTTGGTTGAAGGGAAGGCCTACAGGAAACCCATAAGTTTGTGGGGTGAACACCATAGTGAACATACATCCATGTCCCCTTCAACCAATGACCTCCGCCCTTGGAACACTCACGGAAAGCCATCCATCTAAATCCGGCACTCCTCCCCCTGCAGTGCGGTGGCTTTGGTCAGTCCGTCCGGCAGGCGAGGGCGGAGATCACCAGCCAAACCGACGACACCTTGATGCCTTTGCACTTAGCCGCCCGGAGTGCCTCGGCAGCCTGGGCATAGTGGGGGGTGCAGCCATTGGGGTGTTATGGCGCAGAAACCTTGAGCTTATAGTATAGTGTTGTTTTTTTTTTGTGTTTGGTGCTTGCTGACAGCATTTAGCCGGCTGCCAGTGGCAATCTTTGAGATAACTTGAGTGTTGACTAGTTGTACAACACCATGACACCATGCCGCAGGGCTAGAGTGGTCAAGCCTGGCTTTGCTACCCTGAAATTTGGTGCTACAGCTAGATCCCATTCTGCCAGAGCTTCATGGTGAGGCATAAATGGGTCGTAAGAAGCTTTGAAAGGTAGGCCAAGTGAATTGCATTTCATTAATCACGCACAGTCTCAGGGTACACCTGGCATTGAGCCCAAGTTGGATCATTTTCCAGTGCCGCACCCACCAGTGAAACATATCATGTGAAATTTTGTTGTTTTTCAGATCTGGTTCGAAGTCAGTTTGCGTATACGGCCACGTCCCAATTAAGACACCGTTCCAACCGAGTCCCGCCCCGTTCCGGAGGCGGTCATACGGCCGTGGCTCGATGCCTTTGCGACCTGGGCGTCCCCATCAACAACACGACGATGGACGGGCGTTCTCCCGAGACGTCGACCACCGTGCTGGGCTGAACGGTGACGCACGGTTGGGCGCGGGCCGCAGGGGGGGAGAAAGAATCACTTGTGCCCTGAATGGCAAAAGTGCACGCAGGGCGTATGTTCTAGGTGGAGAATGGTTAAACCATGTTAAACCAGGTTCACCTTGATCCATTTGAGTCCCAAGCAGTATCCTTATATAATCCATTTATTTTAGTCCCCAAGTTTGGGGAGAATGCAGCAGCCGTCTATGGATTAGGCAGCTGAGCAGCGGGACCATGCAGTGCCTGTACTCCCATAGTGTCACCAGCAGTCAGTACAGAGGCCGGGTTCATTCCCTCATTCCCTGAAAAGCCCTAAACTCAATCTGCCGAGACCAACTACTACCACTCTTCTAAAACGGAAGTGCGAGTTCTCAGCCTTTGGCTCGTTGTCCTACCATGTACAAGGGGTAGAATACATGGCGGAAGAAGCGCTAGAAGCAGCTGAAGCATGGACGACCTTGACACCATAGATAGATTGATAGATTGAGCCCAGGACTGAATCTGAGGCAACAAATGATTTATAGATACTGCAACAGTGCCCACTGGCCTGGCCTGGCCTGGCCAACGCTTGCAAACAACACCGAGCGGCCAGGACGGGCTGACGCCACTCCACTTCGCAGCATGCAATGGACACCTGGAGGCCCCAGTTACGCTTGTCGCCAAGCACACCGGGCGAGCGCTAACACACCGGGAGAGCACGGCTATTCTAAACATGGGACTGGAGTTGAAGGCTTGCAATTCGTAGAAGATTGTTGATAGCTCGATGGGATGGTGGGAATATAAGACAGAATCCTTCGGGAACCGAACCGCGGGAGTTCGGGGGGCCACTGACCAACCACATGACACGTTTGGGCCAGTCTGGGGGATCTCAATCGATGGGTGGCGGTGGCGAAGCCATGAAGCCATGAGCATCCCGATGGCCAGCACCAGCACCAGTACATGTAGGGTTGCTTCAGCACCACGTGTCCCAGCCCCAAACAGCTTTGCCCAAGGTGTCGAATCCACGGAGAAGCGGAGTTTGTGCCGATGGTGAGAAGATGTGGGGTTCCTTCTAGGATACAGGAAGAAAGAAGCCGCTTCAAAAGCGCTCGTTGTACGGAGCTCGCCGGTCTTGTAGATGAAGCGAAAGAATCAGCAGATGGAAGATGCGATTATCAAGCATAATGAACTAATAGACAAGTCGAACTAAGTTGACCACTCAAAGACTCTCAAAGTTCACCTGAAAGCATTCAACCATCCTGGGAGCAAAGACTAAAGAACATCAAAGAACAAAACATTCTAAACATCACCTTTCCTGGGTGTCCCGGGTACGACACAGCGAACGTTTTGTGCTTTCGTCACGCGCTTCTAAACCGCGGCTCAACACCGTGCGTTTCGGCTCAACGCTGCGCCTGGACTGGCCCCAGAGCGACCGAGTGGTTGCTGAGAGGCGGGGCTGGGTGAAACATGGTTAAGTTAAGAGATGTTAAGAGAACGTGGAAGCTCCAGCAAACTACCTGGACCTTCAAGGGGTGTCCAATGGAGGTCCCTTAGTAGTGTAGGGGCTTCCATTGGTGACCCCTTTGAAGGTGCTGGTACTATTAGTTTGGAAACCACCAAAGGTGTCAGTGGTGGATGAACAATGTCGATTGAGAGGCCCTATGCCATCATAGCCTTGGGCTTTACATGGTTTTTATACTAAGTACTTCAATCGATGATGGGTTTTGTTTCCATCCCTGGATTTCGACACTTTGGTACTGTAACGGATCTTGGGAAAAATTGCCTCAGGCAGTTGAACCGCCGGCTCACCTGAACCACCAAGAGTCGTTCAGCAGTTGTTTGCCCCGGCAGTTGTAGAAGCATTTTTGTCACTCCAGTCACACCTTCACTTCCCCGGAAGGAATCGATACGCGAGAAGCGGGTCTTGCGAGTCAAAGGTGATATGGACACTGGATACAGCTGAGCACCAGATGCAAGACAATTGAAACAGGTCCTATAGAAGTCCTGAGCCTCGGAATCAAGCCATCAGTGCTTCACTTCCGGACAGACATGTTCGAGCCACTGAAACCTCACCCAGCCAACAGCTCCAAAGACTCCAAACCCACACTTTCCCTCCGATCTGGTCAATTTTCACTCCTGTCACCCCGACCCGGACCTCCCCATACCGCCCCCCACAAAAAGGACGGTATGGATTGGCATGGTCCGACAGAAAAGTGGATGGCTTTAGCCTTTCAGCTGTTTAGATGTGCGGACAAAGCTGCACCGGCTTTCCGGGCCAACGGCTCGGGTGCCCAAACGGGTCGTCCGTCTTCGTCCTTCTTCGTCCCCCCCCAACGGGGCGCCAAACCCGCCAAACCCGCCCACCCCCGGTCACCTGGCTCCGTCAGATGACCACCACCATCATCGGCTCGGAGTGCTGGCTTCATCAGGTTCATCTCGGAGGACTTGGGCCGAAGGCCCGGAGACATGGGTCGGGGGCTTTTGGAGCTGCCCGGTGAAGGGGAACTCATATGGCTGCCCCCCAAGACCATACAGCTTGACCTTCCAGGCAGGGCATGTATCCTGGTTTTGACCCAAAGCCACGTGGTTGGGTCGGCATAGAGATACCAACGCCTTTGGGGTTGGAAGGAAAGTGGATCTGACATCTTGCAAAGGACCAAGGCTAGTAACTACTAGTAGTGCTAGCTCAAAAAAACAAATATATATATTATATATAGTAGTATTTATAGTCTTAGTATATTATAATATATATATAGTTATACATGTGCATTGCTAAAGTTATTTTTCCGCGCATCCATCTAACCTTGAAAGATCCAGGACCATAGACTGAGCATCTCAGTTGGCAGGTCCACCAGGTGAAGCGGTTTGAAGCAGACCAAACATCAATCGGTCGATATGGGTCGGTGGCTCTAGCTCGCCAGGCCTTGAGCTAGAGCAGATCATTAATTCAATCTATCAATCTGTCAAGCAGCTCTTTTGTGTTCATGGTTTGCCGGCTAGCACTGGCAAGTGGATGGGAGTGCAGCTGGCTAAAAATGTGTTTTTTTTCAGCTGTCCCGAAGCAAGTGAATGTGGCTTTTGGCTTTCGGCGATGTTTCTGTTTTCGCCTTTGGATGCCCTGGAATTCCGACAGTCTCGATATCCCAGACGGGACCGGAAATTGGACCTGTGTACCTACCTTGAGCCCGGGGTTATAACTAAGGTTTAATTAAATTTATGTGTTTTTTTTAAATATGATCCCCATGGGAATGTCCCCCCTAGAATTGGGGACCTTGGGTGCCCAAAATCAGATTGATGTTAAAGAGATCTATTGTTTGGTACACTTTTTGTCTATGAAATCCATCCCAACAATATCCCACAATGATCATTATGTGTTTGATATTTTTTGAGTATTTTTTAGTAGTCTTTAGAGAACTTCACAAAATGTTGATAGATAGCAGTGATAGCAGTCTTGATTTCATAGAGACAGTAAAGTCGATGAAATATGAGTAGTGTGGGCCCGTGCCCTGATTTTAGAGAGAAAAAGCACTCAATTTTATAGGGAAGCCATTCTGAACCTCTTATCCTGATTCTATAAGGGATGAAGATTATGCAAAAATTAGTCAAACACGGGAGAGTTAATTCTATGACATGAACAGATGCAAAAAAAAACAAGCAAAAAAGCAATTATATATATATATAGATGTTGTTAAAACCTGTTGTACAATTATATTGTTATGCTACCAGTTTTCTATATATTAGATCAAGATCTTTGGAATGTCCGATATTGCTACACACGACTATTTACGTATGTCATTCCGATTTCTATGTTTATAAATCACACATATCATTAAATGTCAGTTGTCACCACAAGGGTAGGTGCCCACATAGTATAAGGTGTCCATTGTGTTTCACGGCTGGTTTTGTTATTTTATAGGGAGTTTTGTTACACCCTCGGCGTTCGATCCTCATAAAATTGCGAACCCCAGGCCAGGCTGGAATTCACCAGGAGATATTATATTATATGAATCAATATGTGCTAGTTGCTAGTCACATGGAGTGTTTGGGTGTGCATTTTTTGGGGGATGTGCTGGCGATCCTTAGCAAACATGGAAGTAGAAGATTGCAAGATTGCCCAGCCTGAAAGATTACACGGGGTGGTTTACTTCCGTGCGTTATTGTAGGGAGGTTGATGAATGGTTGTGCAGTCTCTTTCTTTGTGCTGCATCCTTCTCCAAACTGGATGGAGGCTTCAGGGTCGACCCCTGCGCCGCACGCAATTCAAGTCGGACCCCTACGAAGCCCCGGATGTTTGCAGCCCTTTCAGCGCTCTGAAAGCCCAGAAAGGTCCACTTCAGGAGGTTCTCAACACGTCAGGCATTCCCGAGCACCCTACTATTCCACTAAGCTATATCATCAGATCAATTGGATCTAATCAAATCTATGTACTACTTGATCTACCATCCCATATATCTTGCCTTTTTCAATGGGGTGGACTGACCCACCGAGCCTCCGGACCGCCTCCACTCCGGCCTCCTCCTCCAGGCACGAAGGCCCGAGCCATGGCCCCTTGGAGCGAATCCCTCCCCCTGCGGGCCGTGGCGGTGTTCGGCACCTCCAGAGGTAGCGGTGTGACCGGTGACCTGAGTTGTCTACCCGGTTAGGTTGTGACCGGTTGCGTCTACCCGGTTCAGTGGAACAGCGGCACCGGGGTTTTCGAATTGGGAGACGTCCACCGGGTGCACCGGCCTGGCCCCAACGGGTGCAACGGAAGCCGCCAGCCTTTGGCGAGTGGTCACTCCCAGTGAAAAAAGGTCTCACTAGTGGTCTCACTTTATATAGCTCACTAAGATTCACTAGGCTTTTGCTGAGGACTTGATAGGTTTAGCATGTTTGTTGTGCTTTCATGAGTTGTTTAACCTTTATTTGGGATGATTGATCCCACTGGCTTGAGATGATTGATCCCACTGGCTCATTGTTCAGTTTAAGCCACCAAACAGATTGGGATTCTTTGGTCTTGGTGGCCCAAATCCCTCCCCCCTGTGACGGGTGGTGGGAGCCCAACAAAAATGGATGAGCGTGGTGGGTTCTTTTGGCTTGGGACATTTGCGGACCCTAGATTATCTATAATTGATTTATTTATGTGTTTAATAGTTAATAAGTAGAGAGAGATTCATTATACATATAGATATGTTCTCTGTTCAAAGCAGATCTTATTTGATAGCGCTTGGTTGCTCGGCACCCGAGACCATTGGTCGCCACCCGAGACCATCGGCGGTGTGTTTGTCGCCGAGGACTGGGATGATCGGTAATGCCGTTATACATGCGGCTTGGCCGACCGACCCCCTGGGCCTGTGGGCGTTTCTCTTTTCAGGGTCCAGCCTCCAAAATCTGCAGTTTGGAAGGGTTTGGACGGGTTTGGAAGGCTGCCTTTGGGAGCCAAAACATGTTTTTGGGCCTGAAATCAGAGTCCTGAGACTGTGAGTCTCACTGGTCCTGCCCCAAAAAACGGGTTTCAAAGACTGGCGCCGACTGGCTATTGTATTCTTCAAGCTGTGCCCTTCTCACAGCTCTTGGTCCAAGACTCTTGATGCATTTGTCTCGGACATCCCAAAAACTAGCTTTATTTGGCTAGCTGGTGCTCGGTGTGAGCTAAGGGTCCGGGAATATCCATATTCCCCATTAAGCAGGGAGTTCTCCAACCGATTTGCGAGTTGGCAAAGCCCTGTCAAAACACATAGTCTAGGGATTTAACTGGCTCTAGGCGGCTCAGATTGGATATTGACCCTGGAACTGATAACATGTCAATGTGACAAGCTAGGTAGAGCACCCAGGTCCCCATCGGAAAAGATTAGCATTTAGACTTCAGGACTAAGTTGTATAAGCACCACATGTAAAGCTGGAGCAGGAGATTTGCTGCAGAAAGCACCTTGAGAAGACTTGCACTGCCATCCCTACAAGGGTATTTGGGGGGCATCCCTTGGACGTCCAAGACTTAATGATCTTCAATGAGGAGGAATCAATCGCTCCGAACAAAACCGACCGGGCCTCTGGCCTCTTTCGCCCCTGAACTACGCAGCACCTGCAATGGCAGGGGCGCTGATCCGATGTTTGGGGTGTTCCAGCGCCCTATCCGATGGGCTGCAGAACCATTAAGCAAAGAGTCTACATGACCCAGTCAGTGTTTGATTGGCCCTCGACTCCCTCCGTGTGGAGTCGAAAGGCGGGCCCGGGCCCGCCTGTGATGCAAAAGGAGTACTCGTACCTTAGGCACCAGAAGGAACCCGAGAATTGAGCATTTCTTGCAAAACCCTCTTAGATGTGCGGAATGGTGTCCTTTTCAGAGAAGCACTGCTTTTCAGAGAAGACCATGCAGTTCGAGCTTCAACATCAAGAAAAGATAATTGATATATTCAAAACCTATATCAATGCCCATGCCGCATGCCTCTAGAATTTCGAAAAACCCGGAAGACAAGACCCTCGCGGAGTCCATTTGCGCTGCGACTGACGTGAACATGGCTCGGGCTACCAAGGATTCCAGTGAGCGCCGGGTAAAGCTCGAGAATGTGCTCAAACGGGCTGCCTCTGGACAGACCCTGAGCGACAAGACGCCTGCCAACAGCAGGCGGCTTCCGGTGGTTTTGGTATGAAGATGTATACAGAGCCCAGCCGACTGGCATGATGGGAAGGTTATATATATATAGAGAGAGAGAGACGAGATTGAGAGAGGGAGTCAGGCATGCAGGGAGAGTTTTCGTGACATTGACCAACCATTTACGAAGCAGTTTTAGGTTACGTTGGAGGTGGTAGTTTGACTTGAGTTTCTCTCAATCACGCATGTTTTGCCCTTTTGCATCATTTTGCATCAACAAAGCGACGCCTCGTGGGTTTGGTGTGATGAAGCTTTGCCGGTGGCAAAGTGAGGTGATCTTCCGCTGGAGACCTGACTCGACTCAGCACGTGTTTTCGCATCGTCAAGACCGGGACCTGGGAGGACAGGACCGATTCCGTTTGATGGACCGGAGCTCTGCACGATCGGACTGGCCAGGTACGGTAGCTTTGGGCAGTTGCAGAAGAGCCCTGAAGGACTCCAGCTGATCCTGACCAAGTCAGGCGCGTTGTGGGATGGAGCTTCTTTTTTTGCGCGTTGGAGCGTACAACGGCATGTTGGCTGCCAAGAGTTCCAACATGCCCTTGCAGAAGCACCTGTTCAAGAGTATTTGTATATATTTGTATATATGTTTATTTGCTAAGAGACTCAACTCTTGAAATCATTTGAAACCTGGGAGGCTCGGAGGTCAATGTTCCAGACTCCCTGCTGTTGTCAGGCATTGCCTGGGTGTCGGAAGATGGTAGAGAACACGAGATCATCCCTTTACTCCTAGCCGATGTGGTTTATGCCGAAGTCGGGAGCCTCAGGCTGAATTCCAAACTCCCCACATTTGTTCAGATGTGTTCTTTCTTCGTTCCACTCATACTACAAATTCAACGGGGAACGCCCAACCTCGGCCGTGCCGCCTGAGGTTGCACAAAAATTTAGTTTCACCACGCCGGACGCGACACACTTGATTGCCATCGCCCCGCGGATTCAAAGCCTAGCAGCAGCTCCTTGGCGCAGCCTGAAGCCTGAAGCCTGGTGTGTGTGTGTGTGTTTGTGGGCGGGTGGGCGAGTGTGTGGGTGGTTTCGGGTTGCGCGCACCTGCGAATCAACAGTTGGAAATGCGATAGAAGCTGTTTCAAGCTTTTCAATGCACCTTGGGGTTGCTTGGCTTCTTTGATTTTCTTTGCAGATTTCCATGGAACGAGTCGCAACCGTTGCCGGTCACTAGCTCCACGCTCGATGGCCGAGATGCTTGACGGCCGTGAGGTCTGGCTGCTTTGCACCAATGCAGGGACAGGTGACTTCAGCTTGGATCACCTGATGATTAGCTTTAGCAGGCCAGGGACGACGGACCTGAGGACATGGCAGAACAGTTCTGAAGACCAGGCAGGTCTTTTCCTCATCCTCATGCTATTTTCTTTCTATCAGAGTCGGTGCCATGGAAAGGAGTTCTTGGTGTTCATTTTTGTTGGAGCTTGAAAGGTCACGGCACTCAAGAGAAACACAGACACAGGATTCACAAGATGTTTGCATGCTTCTTTTTATCATGTTATGTTATGTATGTATGCATATATATATATATGCATGTTCATTATGTTTGTTCAATAACTCTTGTCAGTCAAGTCTATTCAGTTTTGTGCGTGTGTGGGCTCAATTGGTCAATCAAGAATATAATCGAAGTGTGACCGTTACCAGACAGGCATATATGAATATATGTATGTCTCTCTCTCGCTATATATATATATACTAGCACAGCTACAGATAGAATATGGACTAATTCCCAAAAGCTAATTAGTCACGTATTCTATGTGCTCCCAGCCACTTTGCCTGTTCATGCAGCAGATAGAATATGCGTTAGAAAATTAATAAGGAAGTAACAGATAGAATTTTATATATATATGATATTTTATGATGTTTGACAAACTAACCAGTTAACAGTCAAGAATAGGTTTTCCTTTGTGGAGTCATCCCTGTATCACTTTGCAAGTGGTTTGGGTGAGATAGTTGGAGTATCAGCTTGTGAAGAGTTTCACTTTCTACATATTCACATTTCTTCACACACTTCGAATATGGAACCACTTTTGGCTTTTGAGCAAAATGTCAGTCATGTACAAAAACACTTTCAAACATATATAGGTTGAAACATATGGCATCTGGTTTGATGACAATAGCTGCTAGTGGTGCACATAGAATATGCACGCATATTGCTGGACTAATGGATGCATTCACATTTGTTTTCAGGGGGTGAGGAAACATGTTCAAACATATATAAGTTGAAACACCTGGCATCTGGTTTGATGACAATAGCTGCTAGTGGTGCACATAGAATATGCACGCTTATTGCTGGACTAACGGATACATTCACATCTGTTTTCAGGGGGTGAGGAGTTGCGTTTTCTGCAGCCATGTCGGGGGTGAGCGAGAACATGTCCAAAGCAGCGCACCATGAGCTGCAGAATGACATGTGGGCTTACATCAGGGCTGCAGCTGAGCGTACTCCTCAAGACATTGCACGCGAGCGTGTCACACGTGAACAAGGCTCAGATCCGCCTTTGCCACCACCTCCAGAGGAACCTCCCCTTGAGGATGAGGATGAGGACGATGGAGCTGGTGATCAGCTGGTGGATGAAGAGGCTGGGGAAGGTGCAAAAGGTGCAGATAGAATATGTCAGCACTGCTGGGTAAATATCCACTCAAGTATATCACATGTTCTGTTTGTTTATAAATATGTATATATGTTTTACCTGAGTTGCCAAAAGGTCTGATTGGATACTACTTGGGAAAACCATACCACAAAGAACTATATATATATATATCTATACATTAGCATGGGCAGGAATTGAAAGTCGACAGCAAGTACATGACTGAGTTCCAGAAGCACATCCGTGTGGATATGCCGCATCTGGAGTGCAGGAGGAACTTCTATGTCAGCTTGTATGGATCCAAGAAGTTGAGTATCCTAGCAGCTGTTGAGTTTGAACGCTATGCCAAGTCAGTGGTGTTGGACTTTGACATGATGAACCGGCAACCTAAGCAAAGAAAGGATTTGCTCAATGCACATAGTGTGGGTCCCGAGTATTCAAAGAAGGCAATTCGGATTCAGCGTGTAGCATTGGGCAGAGCATTGTCTGATGGTGAGTCGACATTGATGGAGCAAGAAATTGTTGACCATGTGTGGAAGAAAATTCACAAAGAAGATGTTTTGAGCAAGACATCAGTTCAACATTCAAAACCCTTGGCAAAGTTTGTGGTTGACTTCACTGGTTCCAACCAGAAGCTGCAGCAAACCTGCAAGACGCTGCAGTTTGCAGCAGATTGGGCTGTGGGCATGGAACGTGAAGAGAAGGACCACGGGTGGAGGAAAGGGCAGGGAAGATGACAATGTGTTCAGGGGAGTGAGATGGGAGGCTGGGTTTCTGTTGAATTGCCTTTTCAAAACCAATCATTCTGATGCAGATAGAATATGTTTGCAGAGAGAGAGAGGGAGGGATCGAGGGAGGGAGGGAGGGAGGGAGGGTTGAAGGCCAGCATGTTCAGGGGAGTGCAGATAGAAAACTTTTTTGCATAGCACTGCTAGCTGTTTGGAAACCATGGGTGTATATCAATATATATATATATGTATGTGTAGTTGTTGCTCGAGCCCAGATGCCTTCAGCACCAGCTCCTGTCCTTAGATTTTGTGAATGAACTGTTTAGTGCTGTTTGGACTATGCAGTCAGCGCCATGGCGGGCTACTGTCGTTTCAGAAGGCTTAGACGAGATTCAATCTGCTTGTTTGCAGAGACTGCTGCTTGAAGCTGGTTGGCAGAAGGGCAGCAGCCCTGCAAACCCTGCAGACGACAAGACTGAGTTGGATAGAATGATTGACAGTGGTCAGCCCTTGGGGTGCGATTCATCTGTGCAGTCTACACCATTGCCTCCTACGACATCAGAGTTGCTGTGGAGTGGAGACCTAGACGGTACGCTTGAAGCCTGCATCAACGATCAAGGTTGTCAAAGTCAACAGCCTGTGCAGGGCACGACACTTGCATCATCCAGCAACCTGGCTGCTTCAGACCAAACAGTTCCAGATACTGGAATTTCTGGGGCATCAGAAGCTACAGGTTCTCAACCAACTGCGGCATCACGACCCAACAAGAGGAATTGGAACAAATGGGAACCAGATCCCAATGATCACAATCAATTGGATCTACGTCGGCAGAAGGATATGAAGAACTTGCGAGAGATGCGCCGCAAGCTGGCCCGCGGTCTTCATACATAAGTTGTGGATGGCTGTGAATAGTTGCAACACTTGGAAAAGGTGTGCCACAGTTGGGGTCTGGTGCAGATAGAATATGTCCACATGCCAGCATTGCTGGCACTAAATGCATATTGGAATTCAAATATATATATATATGTGATTTTGGTATGTGAAAGTGCATCAAAGGGATCATCAAGCACATGTCTTGTTGCAATATGTTCCAAATTTGCAGCTTGAAATAATAATCAAGGTAGTAGCAGTTTGAACTGGGCGCTATGGACGTGCAAGATGTTCTCTTTTTGCTCATGTGGCTACTGCCTGGGTTGGTGCTTGGTGTCATTGGAACTATCCTGGTCCAACGATTGTTGAGCATGCGTGCTGTGGCTGAATCAGTGAAGACATATGCGCAAACCAAGGGGAAGGCAAAGGATGATATTGATGATTTTAGCACCATTTTACCATTGGAGCTGTATTTGTCCACGAGCGGGCGAGTACACAAAATAACTCACTGCAGCAACATGAAAAGCTGGCAAACAGTGAGGTTGTGTCGCAAGTGTTTCAAGCTTGCGTAGGCTTTACAGTATGTGCTTTCGTTGCACGAGTGCAGCAATTTGCAGATATGTATATAGCGTAGTTCTTGCACTGCAGCAGCATGAATCAAAAAGAAGTGTATATATATATGTAGATGCAGCAGGGCAGGGTTCATGTGTTGTATATACACGAAAAAAAACTAAGCAAGGCTACACCATGGACTTCCATCCTCTGTTGACCCAGTTGAGACCAGCCACTGCGGATCCCTTTTTGGTCACCTTCTGCGGTTCCACTAATTGGTGTGTGGCTCATCCAATGGCATGCTCACCAGTCTCAATGTCACGAGTGGCCTCCTCCAAGCTTCCAATGCCCACCAAGCAAGTTGGTGCAGATAGAATATAGGCACCAGCCATCATTGATGGTTGAAGCCATATGTCTTATTCATTCTAATTCTACCATTATATATATATAGGTTTGTATGTCATGTCTGTTCTTCTTCTGTTCGCACCTGGCAGGACGGCGATCTCGCAAAGTCGATCAAGGCCACAGCTGTGAAGGGCAAGGGGGTTGCTGTGCGGGATGATGCAGTAAAAGCATTGACTGAGAACCAGGTCGTGAATCTCCAGGAAGTTGCAGAACAACTGGCAGACACCCATCAAGTTGCCGAGGTCTCCAAATCAGAGGACATTACTCAATCCTTCATCGAAACAGTGAAGTTCATTGGTCCTGACTGCTTGGCTTCCAATTTTCTTGTTTACAGGGGATTGGTCCAACAGCTGTCGGGACGAGTATTGGATCCAAACGCATACACTCTTGGCATCATTGCCGGTAAGAATGACATGGCGATAGAAGTATGTCTGGGAGGTGATGTTGCTTCGATGGTCTCAAACAATGAGCTGAAAGAGAGGTAGATCTGCTTGGAGTATGACATCATGGGTCTGGTTGTGTGGGATCATGAGGCTATGGCGTCCAAATATAAGGAAGAAATGGCAAAGCTACTATCGCTGGCAGACAAGCCATATCTTCTGATGATTTACCAGTCAGCAGGCGATGTTGCCTGTTGGGAGTTCAACAGGGAAGGTGATCCTGGTGAATTCGTAATGGTTGACATCAACAGCAGAAACAAAAATAGACGCAAAGATGTGGACTACAAGCAATGCTGAGCTGATTGGACCAGAATTCCCAAAAGATGCAATTCATGGCGTGCAGCGTGATATTCCTGACGTTCATGTCTATTATCAGTGGCTGCTCAATGTGGAGTCAGGTGTGAAGTACAGTCACTATGATTTGCTGTTGCCGGCCAACTCTGATTCTGCAGGAGACCGTGTCATTGAGTTGCCCAAGGTGGTCCCTTTCCATGATGGAAAAGAGCAGGTGAAGTCTACCAGTATCAATCCTTTCTTTGATCCTGCAACATATAGAAATCGAACCTTTCAGTTTCCAGAGCTGAAAGAAAAGCTAGTGCCAAGCGAGGATCCAGACTCATTCATGCAGCCGATGATTGGTAGTGCAATGCAAGGTTTCTTTGATCTTACCCAGTACGATGGCAAGAACTACAAGTTCCCC